CAACTGCTGAAGCTCGAAGTCCATATTACTATTAGGAACGCTCGCCCCCTCTAGTTGGAGCATTGCAAGATTAGGGTTCGCATCAGCATATGCGCGGCGCAGCTATTAACAGCCTACCGTAAACAAAAGCTTGGCCTGGCCAGTGGAGCTCTGAACAGTGAATGAGACAATGCCAGCATGGGGGAAGGCAATGCGCTGCGCCCTTTCAGGCTTCTCCTCCTCTTCTTCGCTCTCACTTTGGATCGTGCGCTCAATGTTGCAGCGAAGGGCGGCGACGTCAACATGACGGCGCACGTCCCATACACCACCATTCTCTTCCCTGGTTTTGCATCTTCACGACTGAGGGCCTGGGCGGACTTGGACTGTCCGTTGTCTCCGTTGGACTTCCACCCCCTTGATTACGTGAGTTCGGATTGAATTTGTTCGCTGCCAAAGAAAGCATTGAGCAGATTGTTTGTGGGGTCACATCATCGTCCAAGTGAGTGAGCTGAGCATTTCGAGGCTGAAGTTGTGGAGTGCAGACACTTGGCACATGGGGCATCCCCCTTCACTGGCTTCAGTACGTACAGATTGAAAGGGTTCTGAGAACCTTCGCAGGAGCCTGAGGCAATTCGAATCAATTGAGCTCTGGAGAAGAACAGGCCGCTGAAACAAGTCGAAGCATGTTCACTCTTACTGTTGGTTCCTTTGCTTATCTTGTCTTTGGCTGGTGACTTAAGGACAATCGCCAGCTGGATGAGATTGCGGTTTATAGCCTCAAACGTACAGTATTTGTTGCACCACCACCCTATTTTTCATCGGAACTATGATAGCTTTGAAAGGCCTCTGATAAAGCATCCTGGACCCTACAGGTTTGGCTGGACGTGAAGAAGGTGAGTCCTGGAGAAAGCGCTCACTCATGGCTTTTGCAACGTTGTCAGCTGACACTCGGAAGGTCTTTCTGGAGCAAAGGTCAAAAGCTGATGCCGACGCCTTCTCTAGCCCTACCCTGCTGATTTGGATGCTCAACGGAAGAGTCAGCTGTCTGAGTCCAGGTCTTGTGAATGCTCAGAAGCACCGCTTATCCTAGGGACTTGAAGACCATGCGTGCATCAACCTGACCAGCCCTCACTTACAGATTGTTGACACCATCTGCTGGTATGATGAGTCTGCACTTAAGACCAGCAAGATTGCTCTGCAAAGCTTGGCCTGTGCTTGCCTTCCTCGTTCATTCCATAGTGATTAAGAAGCTTGAAATCCCTGGGTTGGGGGCCGTGCTGGCTGGTTTGCCCAACTGTGCGGTGGCAAGAAAATCTCTTGCCTTGATCTTGCAAAAAGCCATGGGCTCTCGACCGCATTCGCTTCTTTCGCTGATAGTGATTGCTTGTGCCTAGCAGATGGCTCAAGTGCATGGTGCCTGTCCGCCGTTCCTGCCCTTAAGCAAGAAGCTAAACCTTGGGCTCCCCCCTGACTGGTAGCTATGCTTGCCAAATTGGTCCAACCCCAGATCTAGCTCCTGCATTCTCAGGTTTTGCCACTCTAACCATCTTAACCACCGGTTATCCCTTGGGTTAGGTGGTTGCAGTCCCTGGCTGTTGGCTCAAGTGCATGATGCTGGATGCGGATAACCAGACGGACCACCCTGACTGCAAGAGCAGGCCAGATACAGGACTAGGGGCTGTTACTGAGCTGGACCCAGGGTACCTCACAGGTACGGCGTCGCGGCAGAAGCTCAATCTTGTTGACCATACTTGCCTTCTACCATGTTGCTCTTCATTTGCCCTGGCTTAAGTACGACTTTCAAGCCTCTGCTTAATGGTTGGGTCCTTCCAATCCTCGCATGACAAGATGGTTAAAAATTTGAAAGGAGATGACGAGGCCGGTCACTCCGAAGTCGTCGAAGCACAAACGAGGTTGCGCTCTGAAGAAGCTCTTTAGCAGAACACCCTGTCGAAGTGCACAAACGGTCGTCGGAAGCAGAAAGCATCGACTCAAGGGTTTGTGCAGGTCGTCCCTGACTGTCTATTTCATCGCTCAAAAGTCCCAGTCAAAGAGTTCATCATACAGTGCGCAGAGCACTCGCTCGCAGACAAAGCCCTAGCAAAATCATTGACACGCGTCAAAGAAACGGGGTTCCGACTTCCGTAAAACATCCTACCTGCAGTAATCTGTCGGTTCCCTTCAACTTCCTTCTTTCACACCATCATTCCGCTGTTCTCTTCCCTGCTTCTGAACAAACACATTTTCTTCCACAAGCCCATTCGCCTGCTTTCCCACAGGCCCCCAACCACGTGATCACTCCGGTCTTCTCCTCTCGGTTCTCCTCCCTGTTTTGGAAAAAACGCAGCTTCTTTTCCACAGGCCCGCTTTCGTCCATCTGGCGGGAGATGATCAGCTGGCTCGTCGAGTTTGGGGTGGACCCAGCAGCGGTTGTTGCGGTTCCGTACGACTTTCGTCTGCCGCCGCGCAAGTTGCAAGAGCGGGACCTCTTCTTCTCGCGCCTCAAGTGAGCTGATTCAGTCCCTTCGAAGCACGCGAACCTTTTGAATGGCTAGGGACGCTAAGGTCGAAGCCTTGGTGAAAGCTACACCAGAGGATTGACAGGAAGTTGAAGATTGAGACGCCCTGCGGGACACACTTGTTGGTAAGCTCGCGCTGTTGAACATTGTTAAGGTATTGGTCTCCCTTACAATGGTCTGCAAAGCCTGTGAGGGAAAAACACTCCTGATCTATAGCGTTTTTCGTCCCTCGCTTCTTATGCTTGGTACGTCTGAAGAGTTCCGAGTGAGGCCATTCAAGATGCCTTCTCTTCAGGGTTCCTCATGACAGATGCTAGAAAAGCTCGCATCACTTCCTCATTCACCTCCTGAGTACTACTGCCGCCCTTCCATTAACCCTTCGAAACGCTTCAAATCTGTTCGCCCACGAGGTTTCAATCGCCTTCAAGCCTCACCTATTTTTACCCGCAGAAACACGCTCAAGCGGGCCCACCTGAAGCGCGGCCGCGGCGCCATCGTGCCTGCGCATGATTGGTACTTAGTTTTATCCGTCGTGAGCTTACTTTTGCGACAGCGACTCCAATAGCAGCTGCCCTTCTAAACATTTCCAAGAGAGACCTTGACTCTGAGACCCACAAAACCGTACAGCTTGGGGTCCCAAATTTCCAAACCCTTCTCGACAGGAACACGTTCGAGATGGCCCACCTGCAGCGCCATCGTCAGTGCTCGTCTTCTGTCTCGTTTTGCAGCTTTCTCTTTAAGCATCGTGAGCTCAGGTGTTCAAGAGGCAACTCCAGCAGCTGCCTTTCGTCCTCTTCCTTCTTCCTAAAAGAAGAATTCAAAAGAACGAGACTCCGCAAACCCCAAGAGACTCTTGTCTTGTTCTGCTACTATCTCTCTAAGCATCGTAAGCTCACGTATTCAATAGGCAACTCCAGTAGCTGCACTTCAAACCCTCACTAACGATGCGAGACACTACAAAACCGGAAGGCCCGAAATTCTAAACCCGAAGTCCCTTAACAGGAACACGTTCGAGATGGCCCACCTGCAGCGCGGCCGTGGCGCGATCGTGCTCGCGCACTCCCTGGGCAACAACGTGTTCCGTTACTTCATCGAGTTCCTTAAAGGCGAGCTCGCGCCGCGGGATTACCAGGCGTGGCTGGACCGGCACATACACGCATACCACGCGATCGGGGCGCCGTTTCTGGGGGCCGCGGAGTCGATGAAGGCGGCGCTGACGGGGCTCACTTTCGGGCTGCCGATCTCGGAGGTGCGTGAGCTGAAAAGGAAAGTCATGTCCGTCGAATTGGTACATCATCGTGGAATGTTGGAAGTTTGGCTCGGATTGCTTGCGTTTCGTTTTCAGATGGTGTCGTGGCCGCCAAAAGATGCGTGGGTTGGCACCTTCGTATTGCTCTGACTTGGTGGAATGACGTACTATTGTTCTCAATTCAGTCCCGCAGCTTGCATATCTGAGTACGAACGGAACCTTCGATGTCCACGGATGCTTCATCAAAGTGAGGAGCCTGACGGGGGATGGAGGAGGATAGCTGAGGGGATGCAGACGTCTGAGGAGTCGTGCAAGGTGGTCGGCCTCATGTTGTGCAATCAACTTGCCCAGGGCTCTGTTCCACGCTACCAATAGTGATGAACATAGCAGATAGGCACCTCTAAGCCCATTCTCGTATCTGCAGGGCACGACGCGCGTGCTTTACAACTCCTTGACTCGTCGGTGTAGATTTTCAACACGAATTGTTCTCGTAGAGTCAACTTTTCAAACCCGATTTCGATCAGGAGGGGAAGCAGAAAGCTGATGTCATCCTCTCCCACGCAACTGGGCACCGCGCCCATGATGTGCAACTCGTTCGGCTCCTGATTCTACCCAACGGAATCTTATTCCCTAGTCTCTCCAATCAGTACTTGCAGGAGGGCGACTTGTTGACGTCATCCTCTCCCACAAACCAGGGCACCGCGCGCATGATGTGCAGATTGTCCGGCTCGTCCGCAGTTGATAGTCCCTTCTCGCGCTTTTATCCTGCGTACCCAATGGCGAGTATATATCTGCTCCACAAACAAGATAAGGTCCCCGACTGAAGCCATCTCGTATCGGCAGGGCACGGCGCGTATGATGAGCAACTCGTTCGGCTCGTCCGCGTGGATGTTCCCCTTCTCGCGCTTCTGCCCGATGCACCCGACGCGCAAGTGCGAGCGGTGGCGGCACAAGGGCCAGCCCGCGACGCCCACCGCGCCCGTGCTGTGCAAACCGGACGCGGACGCGGACCCGTACGCAGCGTGGCCCACGGACGTCCTGCAATTCGACATGGGAAAGCCGCAGGGTGAGCGCAGATCGGAAAATTATTTCAAGTGATTTTTGTAGGAGAGAAAATGAAGTGGAGGTGCTGACCTGAAGAGGTAATTTCTCTCTGTTGTTGTATCGAGGCCTCCGGAATGGCTCCAGTTGTAAATCCTTTTTTCAAAGCTCGAAGACTGGGAAGTTGCCACTAAAGATTCATTATTGCGGCTTTCAAAATTGTTTTGACTTACTGTGGTGCTTTGGTCCAATGCTTCTGCGCAGCTTGGACTTTATTCAGAGAGTGCATCCGAATGCAGAGCCGTGCATCACGAAGAAGTTTGTGAAAAGGTTGTTGGACCGAAAACGAGAACTTGTAGGTTTCGCTTCCGACCGAAAGTGCGGTCTAGGCCTGCGAGCAGGTGGAGATTCGGCCACGTTCTCGTCCGAAGCTGAAATCTCGTCTCAGATTGGTTTCTTTGCAAAGTCTACCCTCTTCTGAGTAGCGCTGGTTGAGTGTCAAGGTTGAACGAAGCAAGCCAATCGATTTCAGTGCCACCATCTGAGTAGCGCTGACTGACGGAAAGCATCCTATACGCAAAGTACTCTCGGATGCTGACGAGACGTGAAGCCATTACTGTCATCAGAATTGCAATGGTTGAACGAAACCTTTCGAACGAAATTTACTTTAGGAAAGCGATCTGACTTCCTCTTACCTCTATCATTTGATTAGCGCTGATTGGCAAACCAAGGTTGAAGGGTATACTTCGAATTCTGACTTCCATTTCCTGGCCCTACAGAAGAGGCATACCCAGCAGTCTCTGAGGAGGCGGCAGCGGCGGCCGGAGTGGTTGGGAATCTCTCCCCCGGGCTCAACTACTCGTACTCCCCTGCGGACATTGCGGACGGGACGGTCTTCCGGGACATTGCGCTATTGGATCCGGACGCCGGAAAGATGCTGCACAGGCTCGGCAAGTGAGGCGCTGGCGTTGTTTGACACTCTCGCTAAGGCCCCCTTGGAATCTTTCTGCGTTTCTGATCAGGCTCTGCTCGTTTCCTCGGGCATCCGTTCCATGTCCTTGGCCGTTCTTCGTTGTTTGTCAGCAACTTTTTTATCTCTTTGTGCGCCCGGGCCATCTTTCTCCTCGGTTTCTCGCTTTTGCTTCTCTTAACCCGCCGATTCCTCACCTTGTGTGTGTCTGGCTGACTGGCACTGCAGGACACATGATGGTTTTCTTGTAATGTCGCCTGGCAGAGTCAGGACATTACTAGTGACATTCCGCTTTATTCCAGGTTCTACCCCGATGACCTAGGTCTCAATCCGCTCCTCTGTCAAGCTTCCTGCCTCATTGATAGAGAGGTCACATTTGAGGTCGTGACGAACCTTGGGGCAGAAATCCGACCCTAAACAGTTCGGCGTCGCAACATTTCTAGGGTGGGGCCGACTGATCCCAGGAACCTCGAAACGTTTCTAGGGTCGGTGCGCACAGTATACTACCGAGCTTCCGCGCCTAAAAAAACGGAAAGGTTTAGGCGTCCGTCAAGCGAACCCAAATGCCAATTGACCGACATGGGTTCCTAGGGTTGATACGCACCCTTCGGGCCGATGCCGATGGCCAATAATCCAAGGATTCAAATGTGTGACCACCCTGTGAAAGCCAGAGTGTTTGTATTTCTGGCTTCTTTCCTATCGCAACAGAATAAGTGCGCCCTTCTGCTCTCCAGTTACGGCGTTCCTCACTACCACGTTAACTTGAAGTTCAACCTGCTGTCCCTCTAGAACCGGCCCCCATCAAGTACTCTGGACCACGCAGTATATCTCTCTTGGAACTTATACCTTCACCTTGACCTCTTGTCACATGCCGTCTCCTTCCCAGGTACTATCACGATGACCCGATTCTCAATCCGCTGACCCCCTGGGAGCGGCCCCCAATCAAGAATGTTTACTGCACCTACGGAGTGGACCTGCGGACAGAAGTGGGCTACAAGTACGAGCCCAGCGGACGTCCGTATCCGGAGAACTGGATCATGACCGACGTCATGTACGAGGGGGAAGGGGGCGCGCTGACGTCACGGTAGGGCCCAGCTGCCCCTGCGAGCCCACACCTAACTCGGCAGCAAATGTTTTGCCCGTCACCACATTCGCTTTTTTGTATTGCACGCTCGAAAAGAGAATCTAAGAAACCAAGGATTGATTCGCCGGTTGTTCTCATTGTCGCCGGTCGGTGGTCTTTCAGGGACCGTCCGATCGTCGATATATTTCCCTTCAACGGCTCAAAAATCCACAGGCTCAAGCGATCTTGAATGGCAAGGTCGGACACCTGTCTCAAAAAGCTCTTCGGTCGGTCTCTTCTTCTGTAATGAAGATGCTTGTCGACGGCTTGCTTGGTGTTAAACAGCAAACCCCACGGTGCAGGTCAGGAAGCCCGGTAGAAGGGCGACCGAGCGCCCGGGGGGGCGACACTACCGTGCCGTACCACTCGCTCTCGTGGTGCAAAGAGTGGCTAGGGCCGACCGTCAACGTCACCCGAGCCCCTCAGGTAAATCTGTTGATCCCGTCATACTTTGCCACGCGTCCTGCAATAATCGGCCACAGAGCGTCTACTGAGCGAACGCCCACAGGCGAAATATCTCTAAGCGTTCTGTAGTGATTGCTGCGTTTTCTGACGGGGAAGGCGTGAAGGGTGAACTGCAAAAGGTGGTCAGCAGCTCCTCACGTGTACAGGTGTCGCCGTGTCAACTTCCAACTGGAGTGCTATGCAAGGGGAAGCTCTTGAAATTGCTTTGAGGCGCTTCCACATCAAAATGGATTCGCATCGTGTTCTGACTTGGCATAATCATCTACGTGCTTAAAAGCTAGGCAAAGCGGTTTGAAAGAATCTGCGCAGAGCAACTGAGCGAGACTCTCAGGACGGTGCTCCCGTTTCCTCCCGAGTTTGATGGGCAGCATTCGCCCCCTGAACGCGCAGACAAACCTCCAGGCAGGGTCGCAGTTCTGAAGCAGCGAGTTTAGTTTTGGAAGAACGGAAAGTCGAACAACCTCAATAACTCCTCCGTTGCAATTTCGCAAGCGATTAAAATCATGATGATGAGTAGGCGCGCTAATCGATGCAGGGTGCGCACAACGGGAGCGATCTGTTCGTTGCTGTGAACGTGCACAAGCGGAGTGACTCCTCGGCGGACGTCGAGATCCGTTTACGGAAGAACGACCAATTCCGCATCGATGACTCTATCGTTCATTGTCGCAGACAAGCCTACGACCTCAAGTATCTCAAATTACCATTCCAGAACGTGCAGGGTGCGCAACAACGGAAGCGATTTGTTCGTGGCTGTGAACGTGCACAAGGGGAACAACTCTTCGGTGGAGCTGAGACCCGTATACGGAAGAAAAACCAACCCCGACGACTCTTTCGGTCACTTCTCGTAGAAAACTACAACCTCAAGTATCTACAATAAGCACTCAAAAACTGCAGGGTGCGCACAACGGGAGCGATCTGTTCGTGGCTGTGAACGTGCACAAGCGGAGCGACTCCTCGGTGGACGTCGAGATTCCCCCGCCCTTCCCCGGAACGCGGTACACCACATTCTTCGAGGACTCGCACAGCATCCCCGGGTGGCGAACCGCTGTCTGGGAGATGGACCGAGGTGGGCGGGGTTTGATGTACTTGGTTGAATCTTTGAACATTTTCAGGTTTTTGGACATCAGGATCTCCAGTTTTAGGGGTTCTGGAGGAGTTGGAATGCTTGAATCAGAGTCGTACTGTCGTCTGGAAGTGCAAGTTGGGCGGGGCTCGCTGTGCTTCGCCTATACCTTAAGGAGTCTGAAGGATCTCGGTCATAGTGGTCTGTCGCGCTAATTTCTCCGGATGGAAAAAAGTTCGAAACCCGTGAGATTTTGAACGAGGTTGTCAGAATCTCCGAGTCCAAAGGCTTCCAATCGCTCGAGAAGGTACTTTCCATAAGCCGATCTCGGCACCATTGCCGCTCAAAAGCTGCGGAACTCCCAAGCTTTTTAGACGATTAGTAGCGCTTGGTTGACCTCACGAGGAGAGCTGTCGTTAGCGGATGACGTCAGACCGCTCTCGTCGCGTGCAGTGGACCACCGGAGCATCGTGCGGCACGCGGCGTTCCTGCGGGAGATGTTTCTGGAGACGATCCACGAGTCGCACCATCAGGCGGAGCATCCCTTTGTGCCCAAAGGTGAACAATCTATCGTTTGCTGTCGCTTTACGAAGGGGTTATGAGGTCAGCCAGAGTGTCGAGACGGTTTTCTACGGAGGTTCCATTTTACACCACCAGGCGGAGCACCGCTCCAAGCTGAGCAGATTATCTGTTGGTTTACAAGCGTTCTTACCACGTCAGCCAGAGTGTCACGAGATGTTCTTGGAAATGATACACGAGTCGAACTATTCAGGCGGAGCGTCCTTCGTGAGTATCTCACGATCAAGTGTCGTCATAACGTCTGGGTTGTGACGACAGCCATAGGCAATCTGCCAGAGATATCCCCGAAAGGGATACACATTCGCGCAACCAGCCCAATGCTCCTTTGCGCCAGAAAGCGCGCAAGTCCGGTCAAGCTGTGATTCAGGAGCCGTATCATGGTGCACTGTTGCGCACAATGGACGGAAAACAAATGGTCGACTGCTGCCTTCCGGGGAGGGGCTGAAGATAACTTCGAAAAGAGGGCACTAGGCTGCTCCTGATCGATCGCACCGCACTTACCTTACGCTTTTCCCCGCCACCTGGCAGATACCCGAAGCCCTCTGCGTGACGAGGACTGTTTTTGGGACTACGGGCGCGCGCGCTGCGCGATGCCGGAGAAGTGCGAATACAGGTGGGCCCGGTTCATTCTGGGGGTGAAAATGCACAAAGCACTGCAACGCTGATGAGAAAGCGAACCTCTCGGGGCAAAACCGCTCGGGGGTATCTAACGGCCGAATCAACATCCAATTCTGCGGGTGTTGCTCGAGCCCTCCCTGCACAATCTCCTGAGTAGCTTGTGTTCTTCGAAATATGAGCTCTTTTCTTCGAAATATGAGCTCTTTGCTCTTTCGTTACTGCAAGTTATTGTTCCGTCCACTTCCTGAAAAGCCTGGCTACTACTTCGAAGGCGCAACAAGGGTTTGTTGTCAGCGCTTGTTCATCTAGCTGCGTCTGCTTTGTTACGAAGTAGCCTTCGTGTTCTGCTGGCAACGTAGCCTTCAGATTTCCTTCGGACGCTTCACGACGGACGAGACTTCGCGGAAGGGCGTGGATAACCCTTACCTCTTAAACGTTTCATGATGTCAGCCGTGTTTCGGGAATAGCCCGTTTTAGCTCCTAGCATCGAGGATGAGGTTGTTCGGCATTCTGACCCTCATTACTTGCATATTATTTCGCAGGTACGTCTTTGGAGACATCCATCTGGGACAGAGTTGCCGGTTGAAGAACAACCTCCCTCCGAAAACGCTGCTGCAGCATTACTTGTAGAAGAGATCGTCAAAGATTGACTTGATAACATTTTTTGAGGGCCGCCGGGTCAAACCTACACAGTGCTGAGGGCCAGATTTCAGTTCTATGTTGGTTTAAGACCATTAGCGGATGGTCGTAAGCAGTTATATTTTCGAAGTCAAAGGTACGAGTATCGATTCCTTGACATTGAAGCTTGGTGCGAACTTCGATTGAGTAGACTCGAATTAAGCTGGACTATGAGCATTATCATCAAGGCTAGACCCTTGCTGGTCCAATAATGCACAAGTTGTAAAGAAAGCGATATGAACTTAGAGTTATCGGATGTGTTTAGTCGATGGCCAGAAAATGCAGATTACGGTTAAGGTTGACTTGGGTGTCCGAAATGACTCCGTTTGATCAAGGACGTTGCTTGTGACAATCAATTTCTTTCTTCTAATCATAAGATTCAAGAATGCGATGGCGACTCCCAAGTTTGAGTGCTTGAAACATCGATGTGATCCTTGGCCTATTCAAAGTCCTGTCGAGATCCTCGATTCTCATGCATCAAGGACATAATTTTTCCGAACCAAGGACGCATTGCTCGGTAAGCTTCATGGCATAGCTGGAAATATGCAACATCATACGTATATATGAGTCAAGTCGCTCATGCATGATGCGCATGTTCGATCTCAATACTGATACGAACGATCAGCCCAGCCGCCTATGTTGGGTCACGGCGACGATCTGATGACAATGTGCCATTGATGATTGCGGGGCGGCATATGGTAATGATACAGATGCCAGCAGTGTGAACACGCCCCATAAACCCTCTTCTGAGTCAATATTGGATTGTATGCTGGCACCTCACAGCAGCACAGCAGTCGACTCATGTCCTGGCGGAAGTGTAAAGCTTACGATTGTCTACAGTCAATCCTTTAGTAGCCTATCGAGACGGGTTGACCAATGCAAGCACACAAGCAGCAATGAAATATACGGATGCGGAGATGCAGGCAACTTGATACTTCCAGCTGCTAATACATTGAACCGATCATGGTGGTTCAGATGCCTTTGGTATAGTATGGCATATTGTCGGAAAGTTGCCTACATTTCTTAGTCAAGCTGGAAAGCCGTTATACAGGTTAACCGTGTTGCAAGCATGGCAATACAAGGCAGCTCTCACAGGGCGAGAATCAGGTCTCCCTGGTTGACAAAGTATGCGCGCGGCGACCAATTGACCGATTCCGACATTTCACTTGCACATTTATCAAAGCCCGTGCCTAATGCTTTCGTACAAGAGAACACATGTCCCGGCTGTCTTCCGGTTTGACGAAGCAACACTCTTTTCCATCTCGATCAAGCTGGGTTCAAGCTTCTCTAACGGTCAGTGTCGCTTGGTGGTCAAGGAAGTACGTGCGACCGTTATGCTTGCTCAGCTTGTAGTCCATATCTCCTTGAATGAACCACGCCCCATAAAAATTTTCGCTTGTGGTTCCACGTGGGATCCCAGATTGGGACGCCTCCAGCGTCACTCCTTCTGGCTTGATCACCGGCAGGTTCGTTTTCCCATCAAAGAACGTCACCGACATCAGGCAGCCGGGGTGGCCGGGCAGACTCGAGACTACCGCCCAGAGGTCCTCGGACAACTTGAGGTCCAGTTTGTCGTCGCAACCGACGCGGAGCGTTGATCCTAAAAACAAAAGCAACAAGGTCATGATCAGCGAGGCGCCTGCAAATTGATTATGTTTGTTTTGAAGTTCCTGAAGGCGAAAGCTCCTCCAAATCATTGCGAGAGTCTCATGATTACCTGGTTGACATTTCGAGCAGCGCTCAGCGCGAGCAGTATTATTACTCGTGACGACCTAACGAACGAGTAAGGCAAAGAAGCTCCAGGCAGTGCAGAAAGATCTCTGGCGCAGCCGCAGGATTCACCTTGTTGTGCGAGTAGGCTATAACACTCAAAAAAGAACTGTTGCGTACCTCCGACCAAGCGATGGATACTCGGCCTTTCTACGTCTTGTCAATGTTCAGGACCTTTCGATTGTCTGGAGATCTCTTTACTTTGTTGGGAACTTGTTTAGATGTCCAGAAACTTATCATTAAGCTGCAGTCAGAACTCAACATGCCGCTCCTTGCGGAGTTGTGCTTGAGCTTAGTCATAGCGAGCGAACTCTTTGCAATCGAGCGTACCTGTGCTGTCAAAGTCCGGTTCTCGCTTCATGCGCTCCGCATGTGCAGCGGCGAACTCTGGCGTCACCTCCGTCCAGCTGTTTGGATCACCGTAAAGCGATTCAAAATTACCTAAGATCCGGAGCAAGTCAAAGCTTGTCAAATAGATTCTTCCCGTAGCTACCTATCACTTGAAGTGGTGTCAGGAGAGAGTTTGAAGAGCTTCAAGTGGTGGGCGAGAAGATTTGTCTTGAATTTCCTACTGAGATTCTCAAAGTATTCTGCCTTTAAGACCCTGAACTCGATGAGAAAGAACAATAATTCACCAGTATGCCGTGCTTAAAGAGAAGAGGTCATCCTCAGAGCAAAAGGGGCCAGAATCAGCATGGCGCTCTACACCTCACCTAAAACTTGCACGTGATCTGCTGAGACTTAGCAACGTTCAAAGGAAGAGTACAGATGTGAACGAGAAGCCGCCCAAAAACCAATACGTTAGAAAGTCGTCAGCGTACGGGAAAAGTGGGGAACGTTGGAGCTGTCTGGCTAATTGGGGATTACTGAATAGACTATTCCAGGTGCGGGTTTGTTCAAGTATCTTGATTCCTGGATTACGCGCATGCAAATATACTCTAGGCCACGGGCTGATCAGCAAGGCTTTGGACGATGATCATGTGTCTCTTAGCAACGTCCCACCACTGTTTTTTATGAGCAAAACTTGCTCTGGACTCTGTCTTGGATAACTCACCAGAATTGCCAGACTGCTTGGCTCTCTTCCTTCCTCCATGAAGGATCTCACCAGCCTCGATGTATGTGTTTTGCTTCATCTCAAATCTCGGCAATAGCCCAGTACCAGCTCGTTTGGCGTCTGGCAATGATTCGATTGACTCGAAGCCGCTGACTCCTCAAAAGCTACCAAAGGTCGCTTTGAAATGTTTGGAACTTCGAGTGTGTGTAGCCAAACGAGCTTCTAAGTGGACTTAAGGCCTGGCAGAGGTGGGATGACGTTCTGCTCCCGCTCTGCTTCTCATCCTGGGTGGCGCTGGCAGCGGGTAGCGGCAGGCATGCGCCCGCGCGCATGCGCGGCTTCTAGCGTAAGTCGGACAGGGTTGGGGATTTGGGGTGTGGGTTTGGGGTTTGGCGGCGGCGTTGTTAACACCCAAACGGCCTAGACATCGAGGCGTCCTCAGCGAGCAGTGCCCACGGCCACGGTCCGTCACACTAGTTATGATCGGCCAGTACTACTGGATGCTGTCCGGTTCCATCCATCGAAGTTGTGTATACACGAGGTGTCAATCGAGTCGTTCCTTTGCATTATCCGCGGGACGAAAGATTCAAGCAAAAATTCCCTGCTTTTAGCTCGAAGAAACTTCAGCATTGAAGCGACGTGGAATATGGTAGAGGACCGACACGTAACGATCTAGAGCATGACATTTTCCAAAGATGCAAACGATAAAAGCAGTACAAAACCTCCAGCGTTAACTGCAAAAGCGTGATTGATACACCCGATCACCTGACACTAATCATTGTCGCAGGGTTCGCCCCACGACTCCCCCTATGAGCATACTAAGTGCATATATTGCTGACAGCGCAAAACTGTTGATCTGCATCATGCAGACGTCATGCTTTTTCCGGACACTTGGACCGCAGTCATGTTGGGTACTGCATGCCGTAAGTAAGTTAAATACCCGCTTGTGCGCGCCACCTTTGTGTGGCAAGTTTCCAAAGGCAAGACTCTGTCGCTTTGAAGATCAGGTCTCCGCTTTTCTACAATGATATACGAGGGGCTTCTAAGTACTCTTTTGCAGTTTATGATAAGCACACGGATTGTAAGGCGCCCCTGATACTGAGTCTCTGGAAAGCTTCGAGCCTCGGTTGTCCTCGCCGTAAAAACTCTGTTCTTTTTTCATCTCAAAGCGGGATCAAGCCTCTCTAATGTTGAAAGCCGTCTCGCACTCAAAGAAGTATGTGCGACCGTTGCGCTTGCTCAGCTTCCAGCTCTTCACGTGCGTCTCGACAGGCCAAACCCCAAAAAAAGGTTCGACTTTGATTCCAGTACTAGCTCCTGAAACGGCAACCTCCAGCGTCACTCCTTCTGGAGACATAACCGGCCGATTCGTCTTTCCATCCCGGAACGTAACCAGCACTCCTTCGGCGTTGCCGGGGTGGCCCGAGACTACTGCCCAGAGGTCATCGGACAGCTTGAGGTCCACTTCGTCGTTGGAATCAGTGCGGACCCTCGACCCTGGAGGGAAAAATCAAAACACATTCTTGAACAAGCAACGTCGGATGCCCTGCGCAGATCCTACGCAAAACATGAAGCCCTGATCTTGGCGGAAGCTTCGTTCAGCGGCTTTCAAAGTGCGGAGTTGGCTTCATTGTAGAGCGTTCAAGTTAGCTAGCAGTACGCGACAACGGACTGTCGAGCGAGACAGGAGGAGGAGCAGCCGCACACACCACCAAGTATGTGCAGGTAGGTTTTATTAAGAAGCTCCAAGGAAATCGTACGAACTTCAGACCAATTTGAAGACGATTCCTTACAAGATGCGCACTGACCGCAAGGACCTGTTTCTAAGGTGCTTCAGTCAGGAATGATGCTCCATCTCTTTGCAAGCTTGTGCAGATTACATCAGCAAGCATACTTCCTGCACTAGTGGGGCGTACCTGCGCCTTCAAAGTTTGGCTCTCGCTTGTATTTCGCCGCGAACGCAGCGGCGGCTTCTGGCGTTGGCGGAGTCGTCCAGCTGTCAGTGGTGGGATCGTACAGGGGGGCAGCTATAGCAAAATACGATTGGCTTCAACAAAAGGTATATAAAAGTATGCATACTTATGTTCAGAGTGTGGGGGAAAGGAGGCTTTAGCCTGGTTGTTGCAAGAACGTGGCGCTGTTGGACTGTACCTGATCGTCGAAGCTACAGCTCTTCATAAGTCTCCGAGTCAGTGGTCTTTCTACCCTTGTTGTCGTCAAAAGTGTTGTGTTTGCGCCAGTAAGGGGCCAAAAAGTAAGCGGCATCGAACGTGCCATGCTGGAGACAAAGGACGGGCCCACAGCTATTACTCGATTGGCGCTGTACCTGATGCATCGATTATTGAGAGTTGCGGTCTGCGTTGCAAACGATGGTGTACACCAAATATTGGCAGCACAAAGTCGTGCCAAAAGGGAACATTGCATGTGAATAAAAGAAACCCCAAAATATTGCCGTTGTCACTGAGTTGTCAGCATCTAAGAAGGGAAAGTGAAAGCTGATTGCAAGCTTGCGCTCACAGGAAGTGGTCTCCTGGTCTTCTTATGACTCTTAGGAGGTTGGCGCATGCAGGTGACACTTATTTTGGTTCGTTCATAATGGTGCATCGAGGCCCGCAAGCATGTTTCTGAACAAAAAGTCCAAGGACTCAGTGATGAGCGGAATCAGAGGGAGGAACAGAAGCTGCAGCAACTCTTTCACTAAGTCCTCTAACAGAGAAAAGGGCTAACCTGCTGCATCAGCACTTACCAGCAGTGCCAGACTCGTCGGTCCTCTGTCTCTTTCCAACAATCTCACCAGCCTTGATGTGATTTTCTTGGCCCATCTTTGAATTGCTCTTTGACACGATGAACGTGGCGTCTTAGGTAGAAGGAGTGAAGCTTTGAAGCTGTCTCCAGAGAGTTCAGCCCAGATCTTCCAAAGGCCAAGCTCCTGACTAAGTAAATCTGGCTGTTCGAGTAAGAGATGCACCTGACAACCCTGGTATAAAAGGTCGGCCTACTAGTAGTTGGAGCCGAGATTCTGTTTACCTATAAGTGGTTTCAGCAAGCTGAGTGTAGATATCTGCAATGCTAATTTTTCTAACAAAGCACGCACATATAGCTGCAAACTATCTGCAGAACATTCTGGCAGAATCAAACTTTTGGACTTGTAGTCCCGTCCTGACTTCAGAAGACCCTCAATCACTAAGGACAAGACTCCCGTCTCACCGTCTGAAGTAGGTAGTACAGCAGACGGGCCCGTTTTGGATCAGCAAGGCTAGATCAACGCGAAGAGCTGTAGTATATAGCGCCTGAGCGCACTGCGCGGGCGGCCCCGGCGGCCGCGTCCAAGGTTCGGGGTTTGGCAGCTCAGTTTAGATCGGTGCAACGGTGGCACGCCCGATTCTAGTTGGAACAATTGCTCCGGAATCAGGGTTGGCAAGCTGGAGGACATGACTGCATGCCCGGTATGTAAAGGCGACTTTGCCCCGGGGGCCGGTAAGTCGTACGCTGAAGCGCGCGGCACGACGTGGCCAGGCCAACCCCGGGCGTACCTCTACGCACCGGGCACCAGCGCAACTTCCGAGATTAGAGTCATGCCTCACAAGCTGCCACGCCACCCCCTTTCAGCCACTAGCTGATCGCGCTTCCTGAACCGTCGATGACTTATGCGGATGCACATCGGACGGCACATTTGTAACAAAAGCACCAGGCTGCTGAAGAAGGAAGAAGCCCTGCCTAGCTTGACTTCGAGTTGCTGAAGTAAACGAAAATAGACGAGAAGGAAAGCACGCTCTAGGCGGTGGTGCAGATCTCGTTCTGCAAGGAAGAAGCAGCGTCTCGCCATGGCTTCCTCCACCATGGCTGCCGCATCGCGTGCTGCTCTCAGCGGGGCGGTTGCTGCTGCCCCTGGGGCCGCGCAGGCGTCCAAGAGTGCCCGGCACAATGCCGCTGCAAGCCCCCGGTGTAAAGCACCAACCACTCCGAAGGGACTCGCTGTTGAGGGACTTAGGACGAATGCTCAGACCGGCAGCTTTAGGAGCTTCCTAGGGGGGGCTGACCTCAGGAAAGGACTGAATGTGGCACATGTGCAGCAAAAGACAACTGCTCCTAGGCGGGGGGTCATTGCTGCGGCCGCGGCAGATGATGGCGGTGAGTGTCCATGGATTTTGCATCAGAAGATTTGTGCGTCAGTATTGCGGAGGTTTGGTATGAAGGCAAAGAGTGGTCGTCGAAGGCTGGGACTCGCTGATGCTCTCTGAAGGAGGGTAGCATTGACATGTGACCTTCATGTTCGGGTTGACAGACAGAGACCGGTTTTGTCTTGTATTGCTTTTATGTTTGTGGTACCCTGGTATGCCATCAGATGCTTAAGCTGCCACTTGCAGGCTTTTCAACGGTGTGGTACTTGGTCTTCCATCTCTTTCCTCACCCTAAATGGCGGTTGTATCTCAAATAATCAATGCGTACTTTAAGCGGCTGCTGTGCTGCGGCGCTGCACTCATATCTCAATTGATGCGGTGATAGACCATGTCTGCCATATGGCCTCGTCAAGAAACTGCATTGTTGCGGCATTCGTTTCTGCTTCGCAAAGGCCTTTGCAACCTGTGACGTGTTGGAAAATTATTCTGGCGCCACGACGGCCTTTCTTGGAAAGATGTCTCGTTAGCATAGAGAAGAGTGTTGTTAGAGACCAGCTGGTTTCAAATACAGGCCGGTAATGACCTCGTTAAAACGGCGCAGAGTGTCATGAGAGCATCTGGCAGCTGACTCTAAAGAAGTTTGTTTGGTTGCCGAGTGTTCTCAAGTACCTAAAGTTGCAGCTTGAGATCTAGTGCTGCAGCCTTGCACCGCATCCTTGCTTGGTCGGACCGCATCCTTGCTTGGTCGGACCGCATCCTTGCTTGGTCGGAAGAAAACCGTGAGCTTAGAGAGATCATTTTCCTTGGGACATGTTTGAACTGATTTCAGCATCGCTTACCTAAATTGGACTCCTGAGTCCCTGGTCAAATAGTCATAGGACGGGCGCATTAGGGTTTCTACGAGCAGCCATTTCTGTCACCTTTTCCTTAGCGCACTGCTCTTAGGAATCTGACGCAACCAAGCTTGAGCAATATGGTTCACCCCTCTTGATCAAGAAGCTAAGCTTTTTTAAGCCTGATTTTGCTTGTTTCGTTGATGCAGCCAAGCGCGTTGTCTCCCTCAAGGACTACCGCAACATCGGTATTATGGCGCACATTGACGCTGGCAAGACCACAACCACTGAGCGGGTTCTTTTCTACACTGGGAAGAGTTACAAGATTGGCGAGGTGCACGAGGGAACGGCCACGATGGACTGGATGGAGCAGGAGCAAGAGCGTGGGATTACAATCACAAGTGCTGCCACCACTTGCTCGTGGAAAGACCACAGGATCAACATCATTGACACGCCAGGTAAGGGTTTAGGGTTTTGGTTGGCAGGCGCTTGAGCATGAAGGGAGGTTCGGAGAGTGTTGCGTGTGGAGTAATGCTGTGGCGGAGAGAAGATGCTTTCGTGCCGCTGAAACCGTTTTGGAAGTGAGAGCAGAGTGCTTTCTGGGCTGAAATTTGTTAGGGAGCCAACGGAGTAAATTAATCACATACCATGGCAGTCACTTCAGCCAAGCGTACACATTGTCTTGGAGGCGGCGATTTTTGTGGTTCTGTTCGCCATCTTTCATGTCTGCAAGTATGCATTCAGGAACTCTCTACATAATCATCACGCTTCCTGAGCGAGCTTCTGCTCTGGCTGTCTCGTCAGGTCACGTGGACTTCACCCTTGAGGTCGAGCGTGCTCTCCGTGTGCTGGACGGCAGTGTGTGCCTGTTCGATTCCGTGGCCGGAGTCGAGCCCCAGTCCGAGACGGTGTGGCGCCAGGCCGACAAGTACGGCGTGCCCCGTATCTGCTTCGTGAACAAGATGGACAGGCTGGGGGCAAACTTCTTCAGGCAAGTCTAGCAACATTGCTTCCTGATGTGGGTGCCTTACTGTGAGAATTTTGGCAGGAAGCGGACATAATCACAGGTTACACTGTCAATAAACGCTATGTCTCCTAGTTGACAAGGAAGGTTGTGGGCTCCTGCGCGCTAATTGTTGCTTGATGGTCAGCAGAGCGGCACAGGCTCTCTTAGGGCACGATGAGAGGAACAAGGGCAGTACCGAGGACTGATGTCTGTCCCCGATGAGAGGCAAAAATTTGCACTCTGTCTTCCAACCTGTGACGTGTCTCGTATTGTATGTGGGTTTACGAAACTTGCCGTCAACCACAGCCCTCAGCAAAGCTTTTACCCCCTCAGGAGGGTCGACATGATCGTGGGCAATCCTGGGTTTTCTGCTTTCCTCACTTTTTCAGGTCTTGTTCTCCTACTAGGTTTTAGAAACTTGAGGTTGTTAACCACAGCCTTGACCAGGCCTTGTCACACTCCTGAGGACTGTCGAGATTGTGGCCAACCTGGGTGTTTCTGCTTTCCCACTGTGTTTGGTGTTGTTTGTTTGTTGGATTTATGAAACCCGTTGTAGTTAACCACAGCCCTGACCAAGGCTTTTTCTCACTCCTCAGGACCGTCGACATGATCATCGCCAACCTGGGCGCGACTCCCGCTGTCCTGCAGCTGCCCATCGGCGCGGAGGACACTTTTGCCGGCATTGTCGATCTGGTAACCATGAAGGCGGTCATTTGGAACGGAGAAGAGCTGGGCGCTTCTTTTGAGACTGTGGACATCCCTGAGGATCTCCAGGACCAGGCTCAGGAGTACCGCGAGAAGCTGGTGGAGCTGGCGGTGGAGCAGGACGAGGCGGTGAGCAGCATTTCCCGAGGTCCTGAGCTTGGAAAGCTGAGGGCTCTTTAGGGCCCTGGAAGACTTTGACAGATTGGGGCGGGGTGAGAAAGTATCAAGCTAGTTGCGTATCTCTCTGTTGTGCCCAAGTCCTGGAATTACAGTTGGTGTTTTCCCCTGGTTCATGGCTCCTCCCCGGGGAAGGAAGTGAGGTTGGTCTGGTAAATATGGCGGCGGTGACCACACGACCTTCGTATCTGATCATCATGATTCTTTGGTCCGTCCATCTGGAGGCAGATTGACCACCTCCTGAGCATTCGTACAAAATACTTCGATCTCTGTAGCCCTCCAAGCTTACTCAAAAGAGTCTTTGCTATTTTTCCAGGCTATGGAGGCTTTCCTGGAGGGCAACGAGCCCGACGAGGCGACGCTCAAAGCGCTTATCCGCAAGGGCACAATCAGTCTCTCGTTCGTCCCCGTCACGTGCGGATCTGCGTTCAAGAACAAGGGCGTGCAGCCCATGCTCGATGCCGTCATCGATTATCTCCCCTCCCCCCTCGATCTTCCCGACATGAAGGGTTCCGAGGTCGACGATCCCGAGAAGCCGATGACCCGGCCCCCGAGCGACGATGCCCCGTTCTCAGGACTCGCGTTCAAGATCATGACGGATCCGTTCGTTGGGTCGCTGACGTTCTTGCGGATCTACTCTGGGACACTCGCGTCGGGGACGTATGTGATGAACGCGGCCAAGGGCAAGAAGGAGCGGATTGGGCGGTTGTTGGAGATGCACGCTAACAGGTGCGTTGTCATAAAGCCTCAATGGCATCTGTCCCTGTCGATGACAACTCTCTTTGGTGTCTGGTAGTTGAAATATGCCGTCCAAACGAGTTGTACGTTTACGAAAGATCGATGTGAAGTTCCCTGCTTGAAGCAGTGCTGTGAGCTCCGAGTACTACATAAGGTCGAAGTGAAAGTATGCACCCCTTTCGAAAGATTGGAGGCCAGCAGTCTTCAAAAGGGTCAGTGTGCGTTCGGAAGATTCAGTTGCGATGCTGTCAATGACGTCGGAGCCGGTATGACCAGACGGTCAATGTAATGATAGGATGCTCGGTTGATGCGGAATGTGTCTTGGCGAGCCTTTTCAGGGATACCGTCGTTTGTGCAAGTCTTCGTAACCACCAATGTACGTTCTGGTGTCCGTTTGGGAAGCTTCGAAGCAGGGTATCTGTTGGCACTTGCTTTGGCAACAACCGGATCCCGCATTTCGTGGATTTCGTCCGACTCTGATCAGTCTGGACAGCGCTTTGAGCTGACGGTTGAGCGATTGTTGGCAACGCTATAGCGCCAACTTTGCTGTCCTTGTGCAGTCGGGAGGACATCAAGATGGCCCGGACGGGCGACATCGTTGCGCTGGCAGGACTGAAGGATACTATTACGGGAGACACTCTGTGCGACATGGACAAGCCGATTGTGCTGGAGCGCATGGAATTCCCCGACCCCGTTATCAAGGTGCGCACGCATATATCACATTTTGATGAGTTTATTGGATCATGCTTGCTGAGGATGCTACCTCTTTCGATGGGTGTTTACCAGTTGTCTCTCGACAATGGGGTTTGGATGATGCCCTTGCTAGTTGCAAACGACGGGTCAAAGACGAATTTCTGTGCTTGTCCCAAACATCCGGGCAGACAGCCATCGGGCGCGGCCAGAAAACGGTCAGGAAGTCCTGGTCAGGCAAAGCGAAGGGCGGAACAACGCACAAGGTGGAGGAACGAGGAGTTGCCGTCACTGACGACTGTTAGAGATTGTGCCGACCTTGCATGTTCACCTCAGATACCGTCAGAGTGCTTTGTTCTTCAGCAAGGGTATATATACCTCCGGTTAACTGAATTGCAAATGTTTGTATCCAAGAGCGTAAACGGATGACAACGGTTCTGAAACGGGCCCCCCGAGTCGTGAAACATTTCCAAATTCTTGTTATCTTGTGATGAAGCGTTGAGAGGAAGTAGATGTACTGAATACCGGGTATTTGCTGCACGGGTCTTACCGGTCTGGCCGCCTTCTATTTGCAGATTGCCATCGAGCCCTAGTCGAGGGTGGAGGGTGCCGTCAGTAACTCGCATCGAGCTTGCATGTTCGCTGCGCTTTTGATAGCGGGTTCGCCTTTGCACTGGTCTTACCCTTCCGGCCGCCCTTTGTTTGCAGATTGCGATTGAGCCCAAGTCGAAGGCTGACCTGGACAAGATGTCGACGGGGCTGATCAAGCTGGCGCAGGAGGACCCCTCGTTCCACTTTTCTCGGGACGAGGAGACCAACCAGACTGTCATTGAGGGCATGGGGGAGCTGCATCTGGAGATTCTGGTTGACAGGCTTAAGAGAGAGTTCAAGGTGAGGCGGAACGCAAGACCAGACTTGAGGAGGCAAGAACGTTAGGCGGTTGATACGAAATTGGTCATGGAAGCGAAGCGCCCATAAGAGGGAGGATTGGGGACAAAGGACCTGGTGGAGTGGGAGGATTGTTGCTCTTCTCGTCGCCATTGCTCTGGAATCTTATGTGCCTGTCCATTGAAGCAATTTGTGGTTGCAAACGTATCGACGAGGACTGGGGATTGTGGAGCCGCACAAGGTGCAGCGAATCACCTTTGAGTATTTGACAAGAAATCATTTTGAGAGTGCAGACACGCCTGTGACTTACCTGGAATCGCGGCGAGTCTCGTCCACTTGTGTGCGTCTTTCAGGCATACCTGCAAAGCCGACTTACTCTTGCGCCTCTAAGCACGCGTAGTTTTGAAATTGCCGAATCCATTTGCCATTCATTTCTTTGCCACTTCCTCGCTTTGCCGCGGTTGCCCTAACACTGACCCTGCGATTGTTGAGTTGTAAACTAATTCGGAAACGCGCTAATGCTCCACATCGTCTCTCCTTCAGGTGGAGGCCAACGTGGGCGCCCCTCAGGTGAACTACCGCGAGTCCATCAGCCGACCGTACGACTGCAAGTACACGCACAAGAAGCAGTCGGGCGGGCAGGGCCAATTCGCTGAGGTCGCCATCAAGTTTGAGCCTGCAGAACCCGGTACCGGGTTCGAGTTCAAGAACGAGATCAAGGGAGGAGTGGTGCCAAAGGAGTACATCCCGGGTGTGATGAAGGGGCTAGAGGATATGATGGGTACCGGTGTGCTGGCCGGGTGAGTGTGCGCGCGCGTCGTTTTGCGGTCAGTTGGGATTGCGTGGCAGGATGCGTCTGAGACATGGCCGTCGTTGATTGGTTGGCTTGGCAGATGGGTTCCGTAGCATTTCTGGCTGCTTGTGTGTGTGTAGCGGCCTCGTGATCAATGCAGAACCTCAGTCGACTAGGTTCCCGTAACTGGGTCGGACCACCCAGTTCAAAGCATCAGGGGTCCGGGGTGCTTCAATCAGCCTGGAAACAAGATCGATGAGGCGGCCATACATGACATAGAATCTGTGATTAGAACCATGGCGTTGAACCTTTATCCGGCGCCGAGCAGCGTACCCATGTTCCGGATCCCTGAACCTTTCTCGGTTCTCTCTTGGCAGTTTCCCCGTGGTCGACGTGCGCGCGACTCTGTACGACGGTTCATACCACGAAGTCGATTCGTCCGTGCTCGCGTTCCAGCTGGCAGCCCGGGGGGCGTTCCGGGAGGGTATCGCAAAGGCCGGCCCGCGGCTACTAGAGCCCATCATGAAGGTCGAGGTTGTGACGCCCGAGGACCACCTGGGTGACGTCATCGGTGACCTCAACTCGCGGCGTGGCATGGTGTCCGGCTTCGCAGACAAGCCCGGAGGCATGAAGGTGAGTCGACACTTTGCAGACTTGAGTTGGATCGCTCAACATGGTTCCGTACGTAGCGGTGCGCATCGTTCTGTTGTTCGGCGCACCCTTCGCTGATGCGGACGCGGCTCAGTTTGTCGCCCCTGGACGGAAGAGAAAGCTTGCTGCTCGTTCGATTTCTGGTTCGCGCGTACTGCGTCCGATCTTGCCAGATTCCACAATTTGAGTTTCACCAATGCCCAAAATCGTCATATTACAGGCTCAACCTTTTGCTTATACTTCCTCCTAAGCGGCCATGTGCGCTGCTCGTACCTGATTGTTTATTGAAGCAGGCTTTGCTTAGCCCACGGTCGATACTCCCACTGACTCTCAGCATCAGAATGCACTTCACAGCTGCCGCCGTCGTGTCTCCAGGTCGTGGATGCGGAGGTGCCCTTAGCTGAGATGTTCAACTACGTCAGCAACCTGCGGGGCATGTCCAAGGGCCGGGCGCAGTACACCATGCAGCTGGCTAAGTTCGACACCGTGCCTCAGCATATCCAAAACGACATTGCCTCCAAGGCGGGTGGTGTTACAGTTTAGGGTCCGTTTGCAGGGTTGGTTGGGCGCTGCATTTCTTGGCGCTTTAGAAGAGCTGGCTCTCCGTGTCCCAATTGCATTGGTTGGGGCTTCCGAATTTGAAAACTGCTGTTTTCCAAATTATTGATTGGTCATAGATATCAGGTATACTCACTGCGGAGCTTTCGTTTCTGCCCTGCCATTCTGAGTACATCAAATCATGTGTCAGTCAGCGAATGGGAATTCCTCATCTACCAGACAACAACTGACCTGGCCACTGTTCCGAATTTGCTAGATCAGAGGCTGCCATGTGACATACATGCTGTGGCCATATATCGGGTCGAAAGTCCGAGTGTGTATGAATAAGTGGTTTAAACTGGCATGAAACGGCATATACCACCTTCTTCTGGCGTGCCTGGCTATTTCATTGCCCATCGAAAGGTAGTGGATTATTTGCATCATGTGAGACAGCATTTTGGTATCATGCACGTTACATTGGATGCAACAAGGGGTACGTGGGGCCGCCTGCATATGGGCACATGCAAGTTTGTGACTTTCATGGGCGGATCAAGTAGTACGGTCTGGTGCAGAATTACCTTCAAAATTTTGAAATCGAATCTATGTATTGGCTGCAGAGAATATATGCGGGCCCGATCGAGAAGCTCGTCTATCATGCATAATTCACATAGCCATGATCGAGTGCGCCCCAATTTTACTTCGTATATGTTGCCTGGCGCAGAACTGGCCCATATGTGAAATTGAGAAAAAATAGTGAGCCATGGCCGTACGTTGATCGGCCATGCAACCGGCCCCGTGCACCAGAAAATCCATGCCATGCTACAAGGTCATGCCAGGCCACATGGTGGTATTTAAAGCCTTTTGAATAATATATACTGATGATATGAAAGTTAGTCCATTTCTGGCTTGCATGCATTTGGCCCATGTCTGCACAGAGTTGGGATTTAACTATCGGAGAGCATTGAGAGGCTTGTTTGGGATGGTCAGTGCACAGGTTGAACGCCCGCGTCACTGGGCATGGCTGCATGCGGGCTGCTCAAGTGGCCCAGCTTGTCGAGTCTTAAGAGAAAACATTTGGCAGATCGTGCTCGCAGGAATATGATGAGAGACGACATAGGGCAGCAATAGATTTCAGATGCCGTATATCATACAAGAAAGCCGGCAGTGAGCAGCATCCAGTATTCTCAGGAAAACACATTGCACATCGGTTCGCTGGACATACAATAGCCGCCCCGCTCTGTCCAACATTGAGCATGCTGGCTCATGCAAAAACCATGCATAACGGCAACCTTAAACAGATCAATCCCGGGTCCAGACCGTCAACTTCACGGCATCCAGTATTGTCGATTCCGGAAGATGTAAGTAATTCGGGGGAAAGAGAGGCACGCAAGAATCATGGCTGGTTCTGAATGCTGACTGCCACCAGTTGCAAAGTCCTCCACATCTGGCCTATCCTTTGAAGGGCCTACTTTAGAGGAATGAAACGGGAGGAGTGAGTGGCACCAATACCGGGCCGCCCGTGCTTCACAGGCTTGTATGAGATGGAGAACTCGCCAAGGTAGTGGCCAATCATCTCGGGCTGCAAAGCAAACCGATCAGAATGTCAACTCCAAATTTAGTGAAAGCCCCAGTTTCCTTCTTCTCTGACCAAATCAACCTTTGTTGCACTAGATGCCTCGTGGTGACCATCGTTGTAATTGCCAAGCATAACGGAGCAGAAGCATGACCCCTTGGGTTGAGCAAAACCAAGCGCGCAAGACTATCGACATCAAACGACCCAACCAACTCGTCCTTGCAAGCAGACCCCACAGTGCATCTGCACATCTGACAGACCAACAAACCACTGCCTTTTTGTGCTCATCGCTTCTCGCCTCACCTTGATTTCCACCTGGTTGAAGGTCTTGCCGTTGTACACTCCAATGATGCTGCCAATCATCTCGGGGACGATGATCATGTTCCTCAGGTGCGTCCTCACCGGCTCCGGCTTCTCCCCGGGTTCCGCCTCCTTCTTCTGCACGCGCCCAGCCAGAGGAATGTAATCAGGAACCCCGCAACCTCACCCGGCAACCCTCAAAAGCTCAAGACCTTCTACCGAGCCGCAAATAACTTTGGTGGAAGATGGCAAGACAATACTACGAGCAGGACAGGACTCAGTTCGAGGGCAGGCGCACAGTATACACTGCCCGCGGGCTCAGAGTTCAAACAATCGCAAAACCCCCCAATGCTCCCCACCAACACTCTATTGTCACGTGCCACTCCAGCTCCGCAGCTTCAGGGTGAATCCTGGACTGTCTACTTGGTTGACTCCAAGCCCAATATCCTGCGGCATCTGCCCTCTTGTGCTGTTTGCTTTAGGCCTTCAAAGAAACTGGCTTAAGACGTGCCGAGCGATGATACTCAAGAGTGTAGAATCACCAAACTTTCTTGAGTTTGGTGCTCAGGAGAGTAAAGTATGCCCAAGAGGACAGGCATCGAAACTCACGGCCTTCCGCAGCTTCTTGATGAGAGCGAGCGGCTTCCTCTTCAGACCCCTCTGGAATCTGCAAATGGCAATACACTGATTAAATGCTTCTGCAAATGATCTTCATATTTCCTGTCTTGCGCATGGTTTTATGACTCATCTAACTGCGCAGATACTTGCTTTTGGCGACTGGACATTTCAATGGGGTCAGCTAAGGAACCCCGTTAATGCAGGCAACCCCAAATGCTGAGGTAGTTCCGCTGCCAGAATAATCACAACCCATATCTCTCTGTGTCCTGATTGATTGAGGCATGCCGTTGTGGAATCAGGCCTGTGCCAACTCGGCCTAGCCTTGAGGCTGCGACTTTGAATAATCTGCTCCCATTTCCTCGTAGCTTCTCAGTACAGCTCCCAAGTACTCCAAATGACCAGTCAGGGTGCTTCACATTAGACCAAAAGATACCCCCTTTCCAGCAACCGACATGGTCCCGTGCTAAGCACCCTTTTGGTTGTCAAGTTTCAGAGACTGCACTTGGTAATGGTTGGCAACCCAGAAGTCGACCGTACCAAAACCTTGCCAAGAGCTCCCTTGAGCCCTGGCCACTGGTCGCCCCAACTGCTACAACCATTACCACAGAATTATTATTTCCAAGCTCAAGGTTGTTTCGTGATCCGCCTGAGAGTGCAGTCTAGGTTGGCTTCTTCGGATCAGAGTCGACGTAGCCTGCATAATGTTCCGCTGCTCCTGCTGCCCCTTGCAGCAAGCAACTCCCTCTTTTCTTACGCCTAGCTGACTTGTCACTTATCATACAAATCTTTGATGTTGATACATCTTGCTGCCCATGCCCCATTTGAGCACTGGGCCGTTTGCCACACAGCTTCCTGTAACCATTTGATGGTCGCTCACAACAACAGATCCTACTATCCAGTCCTGCCTCACCGTCTGCGCGCCCTGGCGTGGAAAAGCTCCACCAGCTCGTCTGTGCTCATGTCCAGCAGAGCATCCAGGTCCACCCCCCGGAAGGTAAACTTCTTGAACGTACGCTTCTTGGGGGCCTCCCCTCCGGCAGCGTCGTCAGCCTGCACAACAACCCTCAAACATGAGAAACGGCCGCAAGTCACTGACCATTATCGGAAGGGGCAGTTCAGCCCTGCCTATGGTGCCCTTGGCCCCCGGACTTTGCATACCCTCCTGTGGAAAGGCAAGTTGTCACCGCCTCAAGCAACACAGGAAGAATCGGATGCGGCGTAAACTCCAGTCTCAGACAGGCCCTTGAGAAGGGGAAAGGGTATCTGCATTTTCGCCCCTGCTGTTGAACGCCCAAAGAGATGAACACCCACCATGGCGTCCAAAAAGGTGCGGTCGCCAAGGGTTGATGAGGGGCGTGGGAAAGAGGGAGAACGAAGGTCGCTTCGTCCGCTTCAACCCTGGTTGCAGTCTAACCTATCGCCTAACCGTCCAAACAGTCTACGTAACGCTTTGGTTTCCGATGTGCGTAGAAGTTACAGTCCTCTGCGTGCAAGTTTCGATTGGAATCCAAGCCTTCAATGACCAGTCGATAGCGCGCTCAAGATGATGGTGCACACTCCATCTTGAGTCAGAAAGAGAAGCAAGCAGGGGTTTCAGAAGAAGGGAGCAGCAGGCTCATCAGCGACAGAAGGTGGTGGTTGCAAAACATTGGACAAAGCAGTGAGGTCGTTGTAGAGCCAAGGGGCTGTTTGGGGGCGTCTTCCGATGGCTTCTTCCTTGGCCTTGAGGGCGGGCGCAAGCACATTGTCGCTATCACAGACCAGCTGCTCAAGCAGGACAGCGCAGAGGCAGAATGTGGCTCCTGTCAGGGCTACACCGCTGATGTCACAGGTGAGACATGGGTTTCGCACAGTAGAGGGGTTTTCATTGGTAGGCTTGTTCATGTGCAACTTCATGAGTGCAAAGTTGTATGACTGTCAACCCTAGCTCGGGGGTGAAGCGAGTTTTATTTATAGCGGCAAGTATGATGCCAAGGCTTCTTGGATGCCGGCACAGTGCAACTCCTCAAATGTGCATCGCAGCGGTAAAGGTCCATCACTGGAAGGTGCTACTATATGCATTGCCCTAAGGCTCGGGCATGACATAATGCTTAGAGATGGTTTGAAAAGACAGCGGAGAATGACACCGTGTTTGCAATGAGAGGGCAGACGCTTCATGGGACACGAGGCCTAAAGCAAACTTACGATGGCATTCTTTGAGAGGACTGTTCCAGTAAGGACTCGTCACAGGACTTTCTGAGCAACGAACGACCCGGGGCAACCTCACATCCCTCCTTGAGACTACGACTCTCCTAAAGTATTCATGGCCAACATTTCACAACGATTTAGCAGCTTTCTGAGCTGGCATTTGACTGCGCGGTTGCAATGCTCCTGCAGTTCTCTGGCAGCAGCGTCGCGCCTTCCTTCGGGCAGAGCAGCTTCACAAGGAATGAGGTGATGGCGGATTGCAATGCAAAGAAGATGGGGATTGAGAAGGCAGCCATGGGCAGGACTCAGGTTAGCTGCTTTCCTGCACCCGCTCTAGTCTTAGTTGCCGTGTGACAGTCACTGTCAGGAGCGGCTTCGCATGATCCTCAATCTAGTTCACCCTAGGGTGTCTGATATTCCCCTCCTGCTTCAATCTTTAAAGGACCGGCGTCCATAAGCTGATACCACTGTAAAGGTGCGGCGGTTGCAGCTGGAACATAACGGGTGTTTCTTGACTTTCTTGTTTTGTGATGCCAGAACTTGTACTCGTTTTCGCTGCTGCAAACTGCAGTCGGCACACCCTTCAGCCTCGTAGAAGTGCGAACCTGAATTAGTATGTTACAAGCTTGGCTCACTTTTTTCCTTAGCAAAGAAATGGAAACCTTCTAAGACTGCTACTCCTTCTGAGAGCAACGGATTGAATTCTGGAATGGGGAAGGGGACGCCCTACGAGGACCAGTTACCAGGAACGCTGTTGGAACAGTTTTTTGGTTCCAAGTAAAACCGGTGTACTGACATGAGCGGAGTTGCAACTTCGCATGTCACTGACTTCTGGTGGCACTCTTCCGGCAGATGATGATCCAGGTCCAGAGCTACGTGACTGTTGCAGACAACAGCGGGGCGAAGCAGCTTATGTGCATCCGGGTGCTCGGGGGCTCCAACCAACGGTATGCCGGGATTGGGGACGTAATCGTCGCCGTCGTTAAGGATGCGATGCCGAACATGGCATTGAAAAAGTCGGAAGTCGTTCGCGCCGTGATCGTCCGGACGCGCCACGGAGTTCGGAGAGAGAGCGGAATGAGGATCCGGTTCGACGATAACGCGGCCGTGATCATCAATGCTGAGGGGAACCCGAGGGGCACCCGCGTTTTCGGGCCTGTCGCTCGGGAGCTTAGAGAAAAGAACTACCTAAAGATTGTTTCTCTGGCTCCGGAGGTGCTCTGAGCGGGCAGAGCCAGACGGACGAACGTTTTGGTAAGGTATGGTACCATGGGAAATCTTTCGTGCTCGTGGGGGGCTCTGCTATTGACGCATGTTCAGACAGTGCCTTCAAAAGGTATACAGTCGAGCTGGGATTATAGATTTGGGTTGGGGCCATCCAACAATGTGCACTAACACTGCGGCTGAAGGAGGATTACAAAGACTCTTGGTTGTTGGGACAAGAAATCGCTCGATGCGGATTTTATGATCTGATACGGTGAGCCTGGCTGACGGCAATGTACACTTTGAGCAGCGTTGGCTATCGTTCTGGCCTGCTTCGTGAAGCATACTATCTTCTGTGTATCTGTCAATCAATCGTCGCAGTGACGCAATATAGGCGGCTAGGCCTCATTTTCACAAACCCCGAAATCAAACACTGGCATGTTATTTTACCGGGTCATTCATCTTGGTGACTCAGAGTGAATCACAGTTTCACTAGGCCGGTGACATGTTGTGCACACGGTGAAGCAGGCTGCAGCCGGTTGGCAATGATTCTGTTGGAAAATGAAGTCACGCTCACAAATTTAGCACATTGCACAGCCCGGCCTACGCATTGATTCCATATTTGGATCATTAGCCACAGCCGCCTCAATTTGAGATGGCGTTTGGATCCACATGCACTTCAATGGCGGACTCATCATGGCGGCTATAGAAGGAGCGATCTGCCTGCAGACTCGTGTCACTCATGTGCACACATTCGACGCGAGCGAAGCGCATGATTTCGAATGCGCACTAATCATTCCACATGGTGCGGCAGCGGGCCCAGCTATAGCTAGCCTAGCGCGCCGCCTTGCTGTCCCTGAATAGGTGAACAGCGCACTGTCAAGTTCAAGTTCAAAAACAAACGAGTCTATACACTTTACGAGATTCAAACTGGTCTGAACGTGAAGGCGCAAGGTACGTTCCTAGGTAGAAGTATAAATGAATGACTGACACGATTCCTGTTAACCTAGTCACATCGCATCTTCGCAGCAACTTGCCATTGCTGGCCAGACATGATCTCTTCGATCATGTGAAGTCTGGTAACGTGGACAGAATAACCGCAAACATACACTGACACTGGCATGCTTAGCTAAGCCAACCGAGCCCACACATCTTAAGTCGTCACTTTCACGGAATGCCAATCTAGCCCCCCCCCCCTTACGATAATTTTTCCAGCGAACATGTCGAGAAGTTCCCGCTGCCCAATCCAACAATCAGAATTCCATGGGCTGGAAAGTCTCCAGTGCCCACAACCCAAGCTCGACTAGATGCTGGCAACCCAGGTACAAAAGCTGGCGGTGGGACTGCGCATCAATCCGGCCGCCCTATTCCGTTCTGCAGGTCCTAATCAGATATGATTTTCCTAGAAAGACTTCTTCCGAACGGGCAGAGGCAAGGCAAAGTTACAAGGCAAAATTACACCACTGCACTTCATCGCTCTCGGCCACCGCTCAAGGTTTCAAGCAACCCGCAAGTTACACAAATTGCTCCCCAACCGCCATGAGCCAAACAGCGACTGGCAACCTCGTGTTACTATTTGCACATGACATCGTTAACCTTGCCCCCTACCACCCTAAAGCGTTGATTACTCTATCACTGAATAGCCGTAGATTGCCGCGCTTCGGCTCCGGTCGTCCGCGGGCGCATCGGCCCGAGCATTGACAACTCGCCTTGACGACAGCCCCCCAACCACCGCGCTACCTGGCAACGCAGACCCTCCCTTCCCGACGTTCGGAGCCCCGTTTGGCTGACTACCGGGTTGCACCTGCGGGGAGGCCTTATTGGAGCCGTTTTGCTCGGATGTCAGGTTTGTCGGTGGAGGACCGACTGTTCTCTGCTGTGACTCCTGGCTGGTGAGTATTTCACTAGGGGGCCGGAAGCGATGGTTGGGAGGGAATCTTTCCACCACTTTGCTTGGCGTCTGCCCCCGCGAGTCGCTCGGCACTCGGAACCGTTGCCCGGGGGACGGGGCTCGCGGCTGGTGTGAATACGGGTCGTGACCGGGAGCTCCGTGGAAGCCCCCCGGGGGTGGCTGCTGAGCATGAGATGGCGACTGCTGAGCTTGAGATTGCTGCGGTGCATCCTGCGACTGGACCCCGAGATTAGGAGAGGGCTGCGAGGGACCCGGGTACGGAGGCGGCGCCGTTTGAGGGGCAGGATAAGGTCCGGACGGCGTATGGTGTAGATACAAGGGGTGTGCCGGGTACTGTGGATACTGTTGAGGGTAGTGCTGTTGTTGGGGAGGGGGCCCTAGGGGGGGGTGGCCGGAGTAGGGAGGCGGAAAGTGGGGGGCCGGGTAAGGGGGGAAGTGGGCAGAAGCGGGGGGGTTTTGCAGCAGGGGGGGGCGAGGTTGGATAGGGTTAGTGGAAGGGGGGTTCTGAGAAGCTTCTGAGCTCGACGGCTCCCCGGTACTTTGTTGCGGGGGAGGTCCGGGTTCGGATCTCGGGGGGGGAAGCTCAGCCGGCAAAAGGTGTGCCGGGAAGAGGGGCTGAGAACTCGGACCAGGAGCGCCGCCTAGCGCGGCCAGCATGGTCATCACGTGGTTCTGCTGCGGGAGGGGGCCGGAAAATGGGGCGACGTTACCCCCCTGCTGGGGGGGCCCGTTCCTGGCCGCATGACCCCCCTCCCACATCCCAGGGGGGCGGTAAGGCCCCGGAGCTTGATAACCCCCACTCGTCGATGCAAGCCCCCCCGTACCCCTCTGGGCGGGTAGAGTAACATGTTCCATGAGTCCCGCGCGCCCCCCCAGGATGAAATCGCCGTTGACCATGGGGATCTGGCCGTTGAACAGCGCGATGTTGATCTCCTCGATCTTGGCGACAGGCGGTGGGTGGCGCAAGATGTGCGCCGCCGCACGAAACGCGCCGCAGATGCGAGCGAAGGCGAGCCGGCCGGGCTGGACCGATCGCGCGCAGTTCTCGGACAGGTCGAACGGGTCCTCTACCTGTGGGTAACGGGAGGACAACGCTAGGTATGCTAACGGCGGCAACAGAGATAAAGGGTGGTCTCCTCGAAGTGTCCATCAAAACGAATACATAGTGCGTCTCCATTACAGCAAGCTGACTCGAGTACGATTGGAAACCACCGCAACTGATAAAGGTTCGCGAATGGTTGGCTGGAATCGTTGGTGGACCCAAACAGCAGCGATACAGACGGCCCAAAAGGCTTGCGAAAATATCAAAACAAAAGACAACTTCCCTGCCCAAATACAATACCTCATGAACGCCATGTGTCTGCACGACCTAGACACATCAGACACACACAAACACGGGAGAAGTGACACGTCTTGCGAACAACTCGCGTTAACGCTCTGCCACTTGATCAGTTCCAGACGCCACAACGCAGTGACTTCGAATCTGCAAGAAAGGCAGGATTAGATCTTTGTGAGAAATCGAAACCCTCACCCTCATGGTGTACTGCTTGCCGTACCAGGCGGTGTGCACCTCCCGGGCTTCCTTCCAGGAGCCCCTCCACGGGCTGACGGTCAGGCCGTGCGGCCAGAGCGACTCTACGGAGGCGTACTGCAAGAATAAGGTAAAACAAAGCCCGTCGGTCCGAGTTTCTGGCGTTCTCTGCACACGACTTTGCGCTTGAGACGGTAAACTTTCGATGCCAACATTGAAGAGAGACAAAAGCAACTATCCATGGCATGATACGGTGTCAACACCGCGCTAGACATGAAGTGAACGTAGGAGGGGACCAAGAGAGGGGGTTCAGCACAGAAAGGCTGAGCTTCGGTTTCAATGATGTGATCCTCATTGCAGAATAGATAAAGACGAGAAGGGCCTTCTCAAAAACAATCTGAGCGAGCGCAAGCCGCCTCTGCAATCGCAGTATTGGAATCGGGATGTGCATTGAAAGACGTGCTATTGTTAGCCTCGTTCTAAAGGGCTCGTGATCTCAAAACTGTACTTTTTCATGACTACGAGACGGAAATATCGATTCGGACGCCTCCAAAATAGGACTCTGCATTACTCTCTATCTATTGACGATCGAAACGTTCTTTCTTGCAAGGCTCCACACGAGGCTTCCATCTAAATTGTCCTCGAGAACGCACTTGCATTACATGAACCACGGCCGGTGTTACCTCAACTCACTTAGCGAACCGATCCTCAAACGCCTCACCTGGGTGAAGAACGACGCCAAGAGCTCGCCTAGCGTGCTCTTGTTCGTGGCCTGCCGTTGCCTCTCCGCCTTCACTTTCATGACCCATTCCCGACATTTGTTCAGCTGCTCTTCTGTAACTCGGATCTCGCTGACGTCGACATCTGCAACCGAAGTGACAGAGGACTGATGTCATGCTGCGGGTCCCAACGGCGCGGTTTATAATGCAAAGGACCTACTCGACTCAAACAAGTCGCTGATCTTTTCGTTTGGACAACCGACGTCGACAAGAAAAGCTTGGGTTACGAAATGACTTCCTCGCCAGGTCATGATGAAAAGCTCTGCACGAGCAAGCGGAGAAAGGATGGCGAGGGACCCATTTTCGTCCGTCTGCAGGTCTCCCTTCCACTTTCTTGTGTGCGCTGCAACTGACCAAGGCTGTCAAGCCCGTACGATGGTGCATCAAAAGCTCCATTCTGATCTAGTCAAACAAAATATCCAGTCGAACGTCCAACCGAGAGCCCAAGCGGGGAAGCAGATATTCAGCTTTTCTGTGCAAAAACCATCGGCCGCACCTTTTCTAAGATCGTGGTATTCCTTCCCAAGGATGGCGTCAAACGGGGGTAGGATAGGAGGCGAACGCGTCTGCAAAGCATCGAGGAGGGTCTTAGGGTGTGTCCCGGCGCCTAGTGGCGAGATTCTTTACTTGTGCTATAAAATGCAAAAAAAAGTACGGAGTTTCAAAGGTTTACTGGCTTGAGGCTCAAGCCTCACGCAGCAAGGTCGGACTTTGCTTTTGGAGGAATGGAAGATGACCCCCTCGTATCACGGGTCCCACTCGCAAGACGATCAGGATGCAAAGCTGCTCGAGGACTCTAATTTGGAAATAACTTATGTCGGTTCCATTCTGAAGATGCACGAACTGCTTAACGCAATCATGTTGAGACGTATATCAATCGTTGTCGAACAAACCTGCCCCTTCCGATAAGTCGAAAGACACCAATACTCGGTCTCATAGGCTCTGATTCACTCAGACCGAAAATTGCAATCACTCAGACCGAAAATTGCAAATACCCGTTGCTTCTACAGATACCTCGCCCTCTGCCTAGCACTTACAATGTAGCGAACTCGAGGAGAACCAATTCAAATCTGGAATGGCGTGTTGCTTGTCCTACCTGAAGGTGAAACACCACCATTAGTGAGATGGCGTACGAGTTCATGGTCCCGCTCCGCGAATCGTTGATTCCCTGTGCGCGCGCCCAAGCCTTGACCTGCAAGAAATTAATTTAATGGTTTTCAATGAAGCAAGGAACTAGCCAGCGCAGTCCATGTAAAGCAGAGTCCACACCCATATACACCAGGAATTGCAATGAAATGTTCGTCAAATAAATGAAGCGGCAACGTTGCTTCTATGAGAGCTCTGCGGTCCCTTCAACTCAGCGTCGCGCTTTTACACCACATTAGTGACCATGAAACTCGCTTTTGAGGAGGCATGCAAGACTCCATCCTTCTGTCCTGCCTCTCCTAAAAAGCTTTGGAAGCTGCTCAAGTCACGATTGCTGTCTGATGTAAACTTGGCCAGGTTACATCCGTCAAGCTCAGGGGAGGTCACTTACGAAAGTAGTTTTAGAGGGACCTCCGAGATTCTACCAGTTTGTGTTAGCTCCGCTGAGCTCAACCATGTTGGTTGATCGAGCATTAAAACCCCATTGCCACTGGTCGAAGCAAACAATACCAGTAAAGATAGTCCACTCTTACCAAATAGACGAGGGGCCGACACCGGTCGTCCAGTTCAAGGACCCAGCGCAGGACCCGGGATTTGAACAAGGCGCCGTCGTTGTTGATGCTCATGTCGCAATGGACACGTGTCAGCACGTCGATGAAGTTCAGGACAGGGACGCGCGCCCCAGCCACCAGCTCCATGTGGCTGAAAGCTGCATTGAATAGACTACACTTGAGTACTTTGTATTTGACGAATCGAAGACCGACTTGATCAAGTTTCGCGAACTCTTTTGCGAGAAGGAAAGCGAGAAAAGGATGCAAGGAGACAGAGCCGCACAAAGATACGTTCCAGGCCGCAGAGCCGCATGTTCTTTGGTTTGATCAACAGTGTGCTGACTCCGACAAACAGCGGTCTTGTCCGCACCATTTGAGCGTTCAAAAATCGTCAATAAGATGGCTGACCTCTTGAGAGCGCTCGCCTCATGATGCGCAAGATCCTGACCCGCTGCGTCTTTGACACGGGGCCTCTACGCAATTCCACTTGCTCCCTGTCAAATCGCACATACCCCACCTCAGGCAACACGAGCGAGAGGTCCAGATCGCCAGACGGCGTGTAGACGTTTGTTTCGAAGCTGCCAAAGATGACAACCTGGGAACCTGCGCAAGAGAGCACTTCGTTTTTGCTAGGATTGTAGATTTTCACATCAATGATGAGAATCAAAACAGCAGACTGGAACATTATTGCCGTTCTGACGACAGTTTGAATACTAACATACACAGATTAAACAAGTTTATCAATAATGTCATGCGGAGAATAGTAAGCCCGCAAGTGCCAAGCAGTGTCATTCCCACACTCACAAGAGACACTATCTCATGCAAATGGACGACTGGTTGTGAAGTCTTGGGTGTGTAACTCTGGGGACAAACTTGTGCCCCTTGCTTGGTCCTGGCACTCGCTCAGACGCAAAGGCAAAAAGTGTAAGACTTGAGAACATGATGGCATTGTGATCACCATACCTGGTGCAATTGGCTGGATGATGTTGTTCAAACGCTCCAGCAGATGCAGCCTGTTGCTGTGATCGGCCGGGCTTGGCTGGAGGCGCTGGAACGTCCTCTCAAGCATAGCATTGAATGCCTTGGTTAGCTTGCCCTTCAACTCGTGAGCAGCCCAAAGGGTCACTGTGCGGCGGTGGATCTCAAGCGCCTTTGGGACGACATCCATTAGAACCATCCTCGGGCCAGGAGAACCTGTGGGAAATAGTCTCCCATAAATTGAAAATCTCAAGAGAACAGTTTGAAACGCTGACTGGCATGCCAAGGGCTGGACTCTCAACACAAGCTGCTGTGTTGCCAAGGTTGTCAGCATCAAACAATTCGGGACTCATTCAAGGAGTGCACATTAGCTTCCCCTGTGCCCCATTTTGGTGCAGCCAACAACTGTGCACGCTGCACATACTCAAACCACTGCTGCATGAATGCAGCATTTGCACGTCGAGTGAAAGACAAAGAATCATGTTCACAGGACATCAGGGGTTCACTTAGACTTGTAATCACAGTCCGAGTGGAGCTCTCCGACCAGAACAGGACACGTTTTTGCGGAAGCAGCAAACATGAAGAATTGTGTTACCTTCAAATGCAATCTTTTATAAGTCATTTCTAAATGCAGTGGGTATAACGAACTTTTCAAGAAAGAATGTGTTTTGATGCCAGGATGGGCAATAGCCCTGGCGGACTGAGCGTACCCCTTCCGCGAAAGGCAGCCCCCTCAGCCGGCTTTTTCCCGCCCGCTCCCCCTGATTGATTGCCGCCAGCTTGAGCACCGCCAGCTCCAGCGCCGCTGCCTGCTTGCGGAATGCTCTTCCCTTTGCTTCCCTCTGAAGGTCCATTTGCAGCTGGTGGGGCGGGGCTCGGAGCCACAGCAACCTCCATTATTGATCAATTCCAAACGATGTAAAACCCCAATTGTCAAGACAACCAACCAATGGAGCAAACCTCAATCCCAGAACTGGAAACCAAGGCCTCTCGTCACGCTAAACTTGGTCCCAAAACCATGGCGCCCCCGACTCTCTCTGACTCTCTCGAATGCCGCCTCATCAACCTTGCGCCATTTTCCAGAGCATGCACGCAGGACTAGTAGTAGTAGTACTACTATCCTAAGTAGTAGTAGCGCGGTGTTTACTTCCTCCTTGAACCATTTTAGGTACCAGTATCCGGAACCGGTCAGGCAGCTGGTTGGTACCTAGCAAGGCGAATACTGCGCTAGGTACGTACCTCCGTTGCCACATGTTCGAGAGCTGACCATTATTGGTTACACCCCGCTCCACGTGCAAAGGCATTCCCCTGGCAATTGCCTTGATGAGAAACAGAAACAGAACATGCAGTGGCACGTCCATCTTTCGTATCCTCGGCGCTTTGCTCGCAAGGTTGCAAGAGATCAAAGCCAGGACGCCTGAGCACAGTGTTTTCAGTCGAAGAAGGTCTGGAGGTGTCGCTTGCGCTAGCAGCTTGCGGCAGCATTTACTTCGTTTGGGCTTTTTGATCGAGACATCCGGAGTCTTGAGAACAGTTTCTTTGGGTCCAGCAAACAGACACAGGCATGGCACACAATGATGAAGTGCCGTCTCAATCGGTGCAGCAGATTTTGAATTGCCAGTACCAGGAGTGGTATCCCCACTTCAAGAGCCTGTCCTTTCGCAGTGAGATCATTCCAATCCCCAGGTCATTTGTCTCCTATCTTCTCGATGACGGGGGTGTCTTTCTTCCTGAGTCAAGCGACGCCTTGCCGAGAAGGTTTCACGAAGATGAATTTTCTGCGGTTGACAACAGTGAGTATCGGAGGTGGGGGGAGGAGCCATACTCGTCGCAGGACGATGGCGAGTGCATGTCATCAGAGGTAAGGAATGCTGGCTGTTTGAAGTTGGTCACTGGCTATGGTTTAAACAAGGAAAGGTTGATTGCTGGAAAGGTTGATTGCTCGTTGAGATTAGCATGAGATAGCTTGGGGAGCAAAGTAATAAGCTGACACAATGCAAGAGGTTGGGTTTGTTTAGCAGCCCTGTCGAGGCAGGGTGACAACCGTGAACCTCACAAGTTAGAATTCACTGACTTGCACCAGTGTAGTCACTTGACAAATCCAAAGATCTACTTTTTCAAGACAACTTTGTTGGCACTTTCCGAAAGACCTTTTGTGATCTTTCATTTGATAATTAAGTGTGCTACTATCATCAATAAGAAGCTGCGGTTGGGATCGTACACGTAATTATACCCCATAGACTTGGAGAGTATTCGAAGGAAGGTTTTGCCAGAGTCCAGTACAGTCTATCAATGGTTCTTCATCTGGAAAGCTCTCCCCTTCGCTTCAAACCCGAAAACATCACTTCTTAAAAATGTTCATTGTTTTCTTGTACACAGTACTGCAGCCTCCCCTTACAGGACATTGAATACGAATTAAGGACTTACAAGAGCCTGAAAGTTCCATTGTCAGAGCACCACTTAGAAACACCCTCCCTGTTCTCACAGGCACGTTCGTTCCCTGAGCTCGAGAAGACCCTGGACGAGGCCATCGCTCGGCTGGGGGGCACCGTGGTTCCCAAGCTCAATTGGAGCTGCCCCAAGGACACCGCTTGGGTTAGCCCCTCAGGGAGCGTCAAGTGCGACAACGGGGCCGAGGTTCTCCTTCTTCTGAAAAGCTCTGACATCGTCGTGCACGACCTGTGCCACGCTTTTGACAACTGCCGGGACGGGGGGCTCACTCGGCCGGAACACTTCGTCCTGGTGCTCAAGAAGTGGCATCCGCTGAGGCCCGAGATGGAGTTCCGGTGCTTCGTGAAGGGGAACCAGCTTCGGGGTAAGCAGCGCAATCATACCTGTGCAGCTGCATCTGGTTTTGAGATACGTCCAGTTCTTCAACCTGGATATTTGGAGGAACCAACTTTTGAGTTTGCTGAGTCAAAGAGCAAGGGTGCAAAGGCCTATGCCTAGAATTGAGACGTTTTTTAGTGAAGCATGTGGTGTCTCGGCATTGTTAGACGAATGTGTCAGAGAAACGATATAAAGAAGTCTCAGTCAGTTGCGCTCAAATCTCTGCTTTGAGGCAGACATCTGGATGTTTCAAACGTTTCCAAAGACTCTTCTTTCCCACCCGTTTCATCTTAAGGCGCTTCTCTTCTTTCATGTATCATGATTCGCTCTTGGCCAGTCTGTTTGCGCTGGGCAACTCTGAGTTGAAGCACAGTAATCGATTCCGACACTCGATGCATCGACCATCTCTTTCCGGCTTCTTACTGAGTGCAGTTCAAAGAGGGTTTCTGTTCCCCTCCTTCGTGGGTGTGTTTCTGAGCGGACTCCCGTTTTTAAGGACGCTTCGACCATGTAGCTTACCATTTTCCCCTTCAGCGAGGAGTTGTGTGGTTCTTTTTTTACATGTATTGAACACCCTCTTGTCACACCCTCTGACTTCTCTCGTACCTTCGAATTCTCATTTTCGGCCGGCTCATTTTGCAGGCATCTGCCAGCGGGAAGTGACCTCCTTCTACCCGAGCATTCTGGAGAGCAGAAAGGAGCTCGGTCCAGTTATCGAGACCTTCATCCAGGACCACGTTCTGGGGCATTTTCCGGACCCGGACTTCGTCTGTGACGTCTATGTGACGTCAGACAGACGGGTCAAGATCATGGACTTCAACCCGTATGGAGGCGGCACTCTGCCGCTGCTCTTCTCGTGGTCTGACTTCGAGGAGGCAGGCACGAGCGAGAGGAGTTCGGAAACGAAACAAACACATCCGGAGTCGGGGCGGGGTGAATCGGCATCGACCGGAGTCTGTGCGGAGGGAAGAGAGCCGGGAGTAGGACTGAGAGTGTCCACCTCTCGAGGGGCGAACTTAGACCGGGAAGGAAGCGAGCAGAACGAAATGAACGGAGATGGCACAAGAAGGTCGGGTAGGACGGAGACGAGTTTTGGGTCCAATGAAACGGCGGAACGGCCTGATCGAGGTCTCATCGTAGACGAACTTTCTGCTGCCTCGAGGGGAGAGCAAACGCGGAGCCCTGTAGAATTCCGGATAGTGGAGACGGCTATGGGGGTGATGCCCAGCATGGCGATTGCGGGTGGGGCGCCGTTTGATCTAGTGGATCTGAGCTCGGGAGGGGCGATTGACGATTTCATCAAAAGAGCGGCAGAGGCGCCGGGTTCCGATTGACCCTGTTGTACTGCATCAAGGTAGAGGGCGCCCAGTGATTGCTCATTCGAGATTATTTAGAAATTGTATCGACCTCAGCCTTCGGTCTGCATGGACGATTGTTCGGTCTTGTGTTCAAAGGTGACGTTGCTCCGGTACGTTACGATGTCAGCTTGTGATTTCTTCAAGATGGATATGCTCGCTCCCTATATGACATCAGCGACGGCCTTGCTCCGGTTCACTCGTGCCCGTTCCATACTAGTCCTAGCTTACACTGCCGACCGTGCGGCATAGAATATGGTTACATGGCTGCAGTCAGGTACTGCTCAGGTACTCCTCTTTGAAAAGCTTAAACGGAACGTCCGCGTCCTTAATCAGTACTGCGACGTATGTACCGATGCTTTTATATCATGCACACCTTAACATGATGCGTAATCCACATGGTAGAATCTCCTTGACCACATTATATGATCAGTTGGCTGGCTTCTGTCGCAATGTGCATAATCCGCGCGTGGTTGAATCTCATGGTGCAAGACCATGCATGTTATAATCAATTGGCTGCCACTAATTGTCTTTACTCATTTGAGCACTGCACTTCAAGTTCCGGCCGCGGTACGGTACATAGTCTCAGCATGCATGGCAGCAAAGGAGCATCCGCCCTGTTCGAGTACGCGCCATGCACTGACTGCCACGTCCCGAACAAGTCGAGCCGAGAGCCGTGCGCACCGCCGTCTGATTTAGGCTGGCGGCCGCGCGTGTCCGAGCTAGCGGGTTTGCGACCGCTGAGGAAGCGCGGCCGCGGCCGCTGCTGCAGTGCAAGATAGACGGGAAGCGCAAGCTCAATGAAGGATCATAAGAATTACAAGAGACCTTCAAAACAAAAAGCTGATCAGCAGTTTCTAAAAGGAATCAATACTCAAATAAAGAGAGCTACAAAACAAGATCTTTGTCAGCAGTTCGTGAACAGAACTTACAGAAACTAGAACCTGCACACCGACAGCACAGGTCGCATCGAAGACATTCTACAACCAGGAGAAGGAACTGGGAGGCAAACCAACGCAGCAAGCCTGGACATTAAGTAACTCTGGAGGAATCGCCTTGTCTCCGTGAGTCCCTCGACCGAAGCTCCTCAGGATCGTCTTGATGGTGTCAAGGGTTGATTGACGATCTGGCGGATAGTGAACCTGTCTCCAGTAGATATCAAACCGTAACTTCATTGTCATACCCAGCTCTTCTAGTCAATAAGGCTTTTCGTTTCTGCAAGAGCTTGCAGGCAAAGAAGTTTGAGAAGACGATGCATTCTGTGTCAATCTTGTTCAAGTGTCAATCTTTAACGTTCGAGGGGAAGCTTCTCGATGCATGTCTCAACAAGTCTCCCCACTTGAACAACACAAGCTTGATTCTTCCACCAGATCAGATTCGAGCAGCATGCAAGCTGCTGGACAGAGAACAATCAATCTTCAGATCTGGCCATGTAACGTGATTATTTTAGGGAAAGCTGTAGGGACTCAGAAGCTGTAAGCCGTGTGAATAGGAAGCAAGTTGATGTTGCCAAAGCCTCAGATGCGAGAGAGCGTAGAGGCTAGCAAGTTGAATGATCAAAGCGCACTTCTGGACATGTACTGTTCAAGAAGGATTGAACCAGGCTTCGTTTCGCTTATCTGCAGGAAGGAAACAAAAGACTTCTGCGTGACTTGTTGACCTTTCTTCACAAACATGTACCTCGTAGTCTCCTTCGGGTTTGGGCTTGAGTCAAACGTTTCAATCCACTCTCTGACCCCAAACCTGCAAGAAGCAGAGGCGATCTACGAGAGCGTCTTGCAAGACGCAGATGAAGAGAACGAGGAGTGCGAAAATGGGTACTCGGCGGCTAAGCTGATGGTTGAGCTGATCAAGGTACCATCCGGCTTTCAAAGCCAGACAGGCGTCACTTTGTTCTGGGGGGAGGAGCAGCCCGGTGTGCAGATCATCAAAGGGAATAACCGCGACCCCGAGGAGCTGACATCGCCTGAAACTGTCGCGAGAGAAGTGCGTAGGATGTCCTTGGAGTAGGAAGTAGCTACTCCTATGCCTGAGATGCTTCCTATGCCTGAGGTGCTGTAGAATAGTCCAGATTAAGAGCTTGGTACGACGCTGATGCTACCTGCGTACAATGTAAGGCACCGAACCACTAGCCAGGGAACATCAAAACTCGTGCACGAAGTTCCAAAGACACTTTAAGCACAGTCTCATAAGGTATAGATAGGCCGTGAAATGCAACACCGTCATTCTTCTGTCCGCTTGTTTATCGTACTTCACGTGCATGGCAAGTGGAAGCATCAATGATTCGTTTGACAAGGTTGAGTCACTGCTTATCCGCCCATGCATATTATTCGGTGTTTTGGGTAGCTATCGTCGATCTTGTGGCTAGGTGCTCGAGCTAACCGTCGAACCTGATGATCCAGCTTGTATCATCCTTTATCATCTGCATGAGACGTGGATCGAGCATATACGCGTCCGTTCTCAACATGCTTACATTCACAGCCCTGGTGGCTGCAGGCACCTTTGCATTTTCAAACCTCGAACCGTACGAGCTTGCGTGGCGGCATTTATCAAGCCTTAATCCTGACCCCCTAACTCAGTCGTAATAAAGTCAGCAACATATGGTCTTGGCTCGGGGTGGCCAAGCTCTAAATGTTCGTGCACAAAAGGATCGTGTGACGGATCGCTGCCAAGTATGATATCATCCATTTCGCATGGCATCTGAGGTTGTCTCGTCAATTGGGTGACTAGTCGGGAAACCTCAGTACGAAACTGCATGAACGTCGTCAGCACGCGCCAGCATTGAATTCAATGGCCACGAATGGGAAGAGACGTTCAATTTGTAATGATTGCTACGAACTCAGCTAGGAGCAAACGCTATCAAAACGTAAAGAAGTTGACCGTCGTCTGCAGTAACAACGATCATTTTGGACGATAAAGAACGTACGCGTAAGATGGGAAGGTGAAATTGAAAACGAAAGTCTTTTGCTTGCCTGTCGGATGGCCTAAATGGGCGGCGGTTAGTATAACAGCGAGTTGAAGGAGATCGCAACGTAATTTCATTCGGGGACCCTATCGCAAAATCCGGTTTGGTGCAAGCGTGCGGTGCACCATGCAATGCGTGTCGTAGAATCTTTGGCTGAGCTGCAGCAAGAAGGAACCGGGAGTGGACATATGCAACCGCGTCCAATGTTGGAGGTTTTCCGAATGTCGTCCATGCTATGGTTACATTTCCTCCATAGGTCTGTCGCGACATAAACCGCGCTGGCTATAATGAATTCTCAAAGTCAATGGCTTCACAAACTGGAGTGTGGCACGCTCTCCGACGCGCTACCATCAGAAAGCACTCGTCGAACTCCTGCGCCTGCGTCTGCTGCCACCGTGCCAAATCCGTTCCGTCCGATACTACCGTCTCCAACGGAACCCGGAACACTGCCATCGCCTTGAGCAGGGCCTGCGCGACCAGCGGGTTGAGAGCCATCCCAAACAGCACCCTCGCGGCGACCTCTAAGCTCTCCCGAACTTTCCGCAGCTCGTCAGTCTTTCGCTCTCCAGTATCCCCACTCCTAGTTGCGCTTTCCGCAGCACGTTCCGCCGTTCCTACCTCCCCGTTCTCGCGCCCCGGGAAACGAACTTCTGCACTAGCTAGCGGTTCCCTCAGGCGAGACTGCAAATCCGCACCGTTTGATGACGTAGGTGCAAACGTCAGCAGGCCCAGGAGTGCCCGGTAGAGAAGCGCGAACGCGTCCGCGTGGTTCGTCACCCCTCCAACCCAGGCCGCTGTTTCCTGCAACCGCAGCGTCACTCGCACAGCGGTATCCAACCGGTCCGAAAACTTGCCCCGCCAGAACCGGACGACTTCCTCGAAAGGCCCCGTTGTCAGCTCCGTTTCTCCGTCTGCCCCCTCGAACGCGACCACTCCGTTCCCGACAGGGCCTCTGGCTGGGTTTTCTGCCTCCGAAGTCGCAGTGGGCTGCTCGGGGAACGCCACAGGGGTTACAGGAGGTTTCGGAGCCTGGTTTGGTCCTGTTCGGAGGCCTAACCCGGGTTGTGGGAGCATCTTCCCAGGAGGCGCCGATTCACACCCCCTGGAAGGTACTGATTCACATCGCTTCCCGCCCAAGATCCTCCGCAGGTGGTGGCTCGCCAATTGTGCGAAGAGCGCGTCTTCCTCGTGATGGTTATCGAGCTCCTTGTCGAACAACCGGCGCACGAGGTCGCGACCCTCGATCCTGGCCAACCCGTGCCTGCCACGTGGCCCGTAGATCCACCCCGCTAACCGGTTCAAGTACGACTCCGACCAGCCCCCAAAGAGCTCGGTTAGGTAGTCCAGCGTCCGAACCAGGGTTTGCTCGACTTGGGAGGGGCTTTGAGATTTGGAAGATTTACTGCTCAACCCGCTTTTCGCGCTCTCGACTTCGTGGGTCATACTTACCGCTAACCTGTCCCGCAAATCCTCGTCTTCGTCTTCCAACAAACGCGCCGTTAGGAACCACGCGTCCAAAACCGCCTCCACCAACCACGTTTCGTCTCCCTCCCGTTCCTCCTCGGCGGCTCCTTTGGGAAGCTTAGCGGATTCTCCGGGCTGCAGGGAGGCCGCTGCTGCCGGCGCGAGCTTTAGGAGTCCGCTCGCGACTACCGCGTCTCCCGCTGCAGACCGGAAGCTGACCGGCTCGCTCGCGCGGCTGTGCTTCTTCACCAGCTTCAGAAACAAGGCCACTTTCTCGGCTAACCCCGCTTCGTTAGCACTGGTCCCGTTTGCGAACCCTACTTCGTTAGCACTAACCCGGGTTGCAGAACCCATTCCAATCGCGTTGATCCCGCCGGTCTTCAACGCTTCGCGCTGACTCACTTTGGCTCCTGTCGCGCAACTTTCAGAAACATCTTGCAGACCGGCACTGGAGTGACTCTCTTGCCTGCTATCCCCCTCGAGGCCTTGTTTCGGGAAGCGTCGCTCCTGTAACAGGCGGTTCAAGCACGCCCCTAGGCAGCACAGGGCCGCTTCCTTGCTCTTCCCTTGTCGCGCCGTCAAGTAGACGCTCAACACCGTCTCCCACAAGGCCTCTATCTCCGCAGTGTTACTCGTGCCCAAAGCTCCGTCTGAAACTCCGGGCCCTGTTTTGGCTCCCGTCACCGGATTCCGCTCTGCTTGGCTGAGCAGGAAGAACACGCGCAGGGCCCTCCGAACGCACTTCGGGTGGGCTTCAACCGCCAGCCGTCGCACGATCGCCTTCAGCAGGAAACTCGACTCTAAGGGGGAAACAACGCCACTGCCGACAACCCCCCCGGATGCGAACTTCTTCAAGGACTTCAGGACGGCGAGCCGCACTTCGTAGCTGGAGTCACCCGGTGCGCTCTCTACCACGGCCCCCCAAAAGCTTCCCCCTCCGGTGCTGCCTCTGCCTGCTACCGCATTTCCCGGAAGAGGACTCTCAGGCGAAAGAGCACAGCCGAAGTACAGCAAAGCCGCCTTCTCCCTCAGATCCGCCTCCGCCACGGCTGCCCCAAAGCTAATCCCGTTTCCTCCCCCGCCGTTTTCTGCCAAATCTACCCCCCCGAGCCGGCCTGCTTCCCGGCAAAGCTCCAGCAGCAAATCTCGCACGCGATTCCGCAACTCGTCCCCGTTCTCCAACCCTACCACGCCCTCCCGCAGCCCATCTAAAAGTTTCAGAAACGCGACTGCCACTAGGGGGCTGCGGCATCCCCGTTTAGGCGACCCCAGCCAGGCACGCGACTCTATCAGCGGCAGCGCTTCTTGCAGCACGGACAAACGGGCCGGTTCGTCGGTCCACTGACTGACGCTACTGAGTAACGCGCACGCTTGAAGGAGGCTCCCGTGAGCGGCGTTTGAAGAGGGGTTTGGGGGGGTTGAAGAGAGATTTGCGGGGTTTGGAGAGGGGTTTAGAAAGTTTGTAGAGGGGTTTGAAGTTTCAGGGCTGGCGGGTTCGCCGCTCGAGGACGGGGAAGCGGGGTTGGCGGACTCTGAACCGGTGGCTTCTCCGCGGAAATCGCCGCATGCAGGACTTGTTTCCGGGCTGGTTCCGTCACGGACCGCGTTATGAGACGAGCAGTCTTGCGACGTAGGACTGAGTTCGTCGCTGCCCGGTTCGGGGTTAGCCGGTTCGAGGCCCGAGGAAGAGACGCAGGAATCGGTGGTGGAGGGAGGAGTTTGAGGTAACGCAGATACGAGGCGCTTCAGAAGCGGCAGGACGTCTTTGGCGGGGACGAGGGGAGCCAAAGCGCGGCTCGCCAGTGCGCGAACGTGGGCGTTCCTGCGGGAAAACGCGCAGGCGGGGTCAAGTCAAGCCCCAAGGTACTTGCGATAATCTCCGCATCCGAGCAGGGAAAGTTGGCCATGCAAGTCGTAACGAATTTGAGCAGTTGAATACACTCCCCCATCGAAGCGCCTGCGAGAGGACAACCTCGCAGTCGCCATCTCGATAATCCGTCCTTGACGGTCTCAGCAGAGGTTCAAATTGATTACAGCTCATAAAAACAAGCAATGATTAATGTTTCCACGTTGAAGAAGCAGATCTACATCGCTTACGGCTCCTGCAATACAAACACCTTTTCCTCATCCCGGAAGGTCCGCGAAAGAACGTTGGCTGAAGACCAGCCCAAGATCCTCAGCTTCGGGATGATGGCAACTCATCGAGAACTCCTAATTCAAGAATAAGATCTCCTCAGGGGTCCGGGACACGCGTGCAAGGTCACAACCATTTTCCACATCCATCCAGCGTCCAAACCTGTGCAGTCAGAACGCACTTTTCCTAGGCAATGAACGCACCCTAACACGAATCCACAACCCTCACCTCTGCGTGGCGCACCGCATGACGAACGGAATGAACGCTGACGGCGAGTTCACGTCATCCTGGGCGGTCTGAAGGACGGATGGGCGCAGCCTGGCGAGCAGCATGAGCACCGGGTACAGGGACGGGTGCACGGCGGTGGTGCGCTGGGTGGAGGGGTTCTCGAGCTGCCACGTGGCAGCGCGCAATTCGTCGAGGAGGAAGGGGTGCAGCGTTGGGTATCTGTGAGTTACGGAGGTACGTCAAGAACGGGTTTCCGAGAATGGGAGTAATGATCGCAGTGGAGAGAAAGGATGAGCAAATCAACCGGAACATCATTTGGGCTTTCATCTAGGACCATTGCGTAATTGAAGGTTGTGGTCACGAAACATAGAGAGGGAAATTCGAGAAGATGCTGCAGAGTCAGGACTTGATTGATTCAAGAAGGAGGTCAAGACGGAAACCTTGCAGGAAGGCGACTGCGTCACAAATCTCCTGTTTTGATTTCTCTGATACAAGTTTCGATCGGCACCGCCGCTAAGAAGCTTCGGCAGAGAGCGAATTGTGCCTGTTGAAGAAGTCGAGGCTGGAGATGCCCTTTTTGTGCGCGCGCTCCGACTGGCGCAGGTTCAGGTAGCCCACCATGCGCAGCACCAGCGCGGCGTACGCCAGAGAGGCCGCGTTGCGGACCTGGAACGATACGATCAAACAAAAATCAACACTACGAATCAAGCCTTCTGCAACCAATCCAATTTTCAAACCTAGGAGGCTTGGACTTAGGTCGACAGCTAGCTGAAACGCCAAAAAAACGGGTGTGATGCATCGCGAAAGACAAGAAAGGGTTGTCCGGAAGGTTTAGTGGATCTTCAAAGCGAGAGTACGCAGGATCTTACCTTCTTTTCATGACCGCATGTTATGGGCAGATTACGACGGTCTGAGTCTCAAGGACCCGAAGTTGAAAATGGTCAATACGAAGATGGACAACCAGTCTAGCAAATTCCCAAGGACAAACCCCCGTGCGCGTCACCAACTCTGTCCTCCTCTCCGCAAACATCCCAAACAGGAAATCTACAAGTGAAAACGGCCCACCTCCCAGTGCGGCGATGCAAACCCCCTGACCGCCACCATCAGCCCCTCTGCCGCAAATCCCGACGTATCGGTGCCCAGGTTGGTATTTCCAAAGGCCACTCGTAGTGTATTGAACGCGTGCACCTGCGGGACCATTCCCTCCAGCGCAGCCTTAACCACCCGCTGCCATCCCCCGACCACTTTTCCAGCCTGTTCGGATCCTTCGGGGGGGTCTCCTTCAGGCACTTTCTCACCCCCCCCCAGCTCTCCCTTTTGCCCCGATGTATCCTTCGCGCCAGTCTCCGGATGGCTCCCTTCGCCCCGTTCCGATTCCGGCCCCTCTGCGCTCGGCTCCTCACCCTGGGGGGTCATTTCCGCGGCATCTTCCGCCGCCCGCCTGGCGGGAATCGTCTTGCCCGGGGGCTCCCCCCGGGCCCAGCTGAGCAGCCAGGGCATCGCCTTCTTGAGCAGTCTCTTGGGCGCTCCTTCCGGTTCCGCTTCGAAGAGGGCCAAGAAAGCGGCCGGAATCCCGGCGCTCCGGCGGACCAGGTCGTCGACGCCTTGCCCCGGGCTGCTCGCTTTGGCCATCAAGCGCTCCATCCACTGCTCGGGGAGGCGGGTCAGCCTGGACGAAGAAAACAACGGAGGGCTGTGGTTAGGAAGCTTCTTATGGGCTTGAAAAAGAGCTAGGGTGCGCAGGAACAAAGATCAGACGTTGGCTCGAGGCTAAAGAAGACGTTGAAAACAGGAGACCCGTTCTAACGAAAATACAAAAATGCGGAAAGTTGGCGGACGCGGTGCTCAGGGATCGGAGGGGGGCGAACTCGATCGGGAGACTCGAAAGAGAAAGATAAAACGAGACCGCTCATTGACAGCCCTGCCAAAGCATTGACTGCTTCAAGAAACCCCCCTTCATGTTCAAAAAATGCGAAGGACGCCCCACCTTTGCGTAAGGAGCTAAAGATTAAACTTTCATCCAAAGGCTTTTCGGTTTTCCTGAGGCATTGGGTTTTTCTCCCTTATTTTCCGTGTACTAAACTCTGTGTCAACCGAACTTCCCGTTGTGAGACACTTTGTCACAACCATCTTCAGGCAAGAACACTTCAAACGGAGCACACGGGCCAATTGAGCATTGATTCTCGGTGACTCACTCAGGCGTGCCACACTTGAGCATGCGCTCGCACAGCGCCACGAACCCCAGCTGCGTCTTGTCGATTGCGCCGTTGTGCTTCATCCCTAGGAGGACCGTCACGAAGTGGTCCCCGATCTGCCGCAACTGCTCCGGGTCTAACAAGCCCTCCCCACCGCCATCCGACTTCACAAAAGTTGCCCCTCCGTTTTTCGTCACTGCCGCAGACCCCAACCCTTGATCTTCAAGCTTCGGTTCCCCTTTCGACACGCTCTCGTCGTCCCTTTCTCCTCCCTCAGTTCTCGAACTGGATAGTCCTTTGCTCTCTGAGGCGGCCTCAAGAACGTTCCCTGCTGCTCCTACTGGCGCCTCCGCAAACGCAGCTTTCGTCCACCCCCCTTCCGAACCCCCCCCGAGGGGCACCCGCCTGGTAACGGTCCCCAGCAGCAGGCTCACTTCCTTCATGCTCAGCCAGCACGCAACCATTACCATCTGCTCCCGGGGGGCCATTCCGCTGCCGTCGTCAAACTCCTGGGGCTCATCTTTGCTGTACGCAGCCCCCCCCGAACCGTTTTGCGCCCCCCCACTTCGATCGTCGTCGCTTTCTTCGCCCTCAGAATCAGAACTGAACTCCGACTCCCCATCCGACTCCTCTCCTCCACTCTCGCTTTCCCCCTCCCCGCCCCGCCCGGCCAAATCCACCCCCCCGTTTCCATACATCTGCACCTTCCGCACCCCCTCCGCCAAATCCTCCACGTGTTCCGGGCCCTTCTCCAACTCCTTCAGGTTAAGCGCATTCACACTGACCACCCACAGCGCCAGTGCGGTCACCCTGAGAATAAGCCCCAGCAGGCGCTTCAGCGAGACCCGCAAACCCTCCGCTGCCGCCGAAACCGCATCCGACCGCCAGTCTAGTTCTTCCATCGTGTACCGAGTCGCGAGAAGCACCCCGTGAACTAGACTGTGCTCGCAAGCCCCGGGGAGGTCCCGGTTCCCAAGCACGACTTCCGCTTCGAGCCAATCGTTGAGGCATTCGAGGTACCGGACGATGGCCGCGCCACGCTGTGCAGCGTCTAATGGGCCCTGGAGAGCGAGAGGAAAGTCTTGAGTTGTTTGGACGGTCAAAGGTCAAGACCTGAACAAAGGCAGATCAAAAGATTCCTGCAGAAGCACGAAGGGCGAGCCTGCAGAAGTGCGAAGGCAAGCGAGATGAGTGGACAGGTCTTCCTAAACCCAGCACTCAAAAGGGAGTTGAGGTCAGCTCGTCTCCTTGAGCAAATAAATAATTCGAAAAATTCCAAGCGTGCAACGACTCGACTCTATCTTCACCCTTCTTGACTGAACTGAAAATACGCATAAAAGTGACCAAACCAGGGAGACGAGCCCCCACCTGAGTCTCTGGCACGATCGCTTTGGGTTCCGGATGCAGCTGCAGCCCCCACCCTAGTTCCACGACATACTTTCGAAACACCAGGCGCAGCACCAGCGAACCCGCGTCGCTCTCCCGTACCCGGGGACTGTACACTAGGCCCTTGGCCCAGGCGAGAACGGGCTCGATTGTGCCCAGTTGCTCTAACCCGGGGAGAGGGGTGGGATACTTGAGAAGGAGGCCGAAGGCGCCCTCTCGGAGACGGTCCCAACTGCACAGGAGAAATCGGTCGAAGTGAGATCCGTTCGTAAAGTAGAGTCTCGGCAAGCTCCCAATGAGCTGAATACAATCGTTGAGGAAACTCTCTACCGGAGTCCCTAAGGGAATACAACGACAAATATCCGAAGGCTGCTAGACATTCGCGATGGATGCTCCTTTCTTTGCGATCTTGACCTTGGATGTATCGGATGAGGTCACAGTCAGAAAACGTCCAGACACAAACAACTCTGAAGCCGCAAGCTTGCAAAAGCACAAGGACTTGCCAAGCTTCGGATCCTTGATTCGTCTGCAATACAACCTTTCCCAAAGAAGTAGCCTATGCTGATTTAATTTAGCCTTCAAGCTCAGGGTCTCTAACCTCCAACTTTCAAAAGCCAAACTTAGACCTCAATCTCGCATTAAGCCCGAATGACTGCTTGGATCACTCCCACAAGTGATCAGCACTGTAAGTTACAACACGACGAACGTCAATCTCCATTCCGGGCGCAGCACGCGACCCGAGGAAGTGTAGAGCCCCCGTGCCCAGTTGGCGCTCACCTATCCACAACCGCCCCCACGAGCACCAGCGTCGCCTCGCGCCCCGTGACGTCATCCGCGTACGGCCACAGCCACCTGACGTCACCCCCCCGCGACGGGGGCGCCGCCGGGTCCCACACCTCCAGAAGGCGCCCTAGCAGGTCCATGGCCATCTGCTTTCGCTCGTAGGGGGCGCTTGGGTAGAGTGATGACATCAGCAGCCTGCTCAGCCACGTCATGAATCGCTCCAAGGTGGCCAGCGTGGCAGCGCCTTCCGGGTCTTCGTCGCTCTTGTGAGCGGAAGTGCCTGGAAGTGAAGAAAGTTTCAGGAACAAGTAGAAAAGGGGTGCCAATAGTACCGGGAACGAAGCAAGAGTCTGGTGGAGGCATATCGGCTGGCTCACAGAAGGATAAGGGTTAGAAAGGCGGAGACGTCCAGGATGTGCTAAGGAATCAATAAAAAAGAGTTCAAACTCTAAAGATCATTAGGCCAATTGCAAAAGTCGACTATGGCTCCTTTAAGGGATTTGGACGTTGCTTCCCCCCTCGCTGCTTTCTCGGGATTGGACATCGAACAATCTCGCACTTTTGAAGGTTCCAAGCTTCGGGCTCAGAAAATTGACGGAGCGAATTCTGTCTCTGAACGAAAATTGACGAGCAGATCGTATAGGGAGCTTGCGAACTTGTCCGGCCTCATCCAATTTTCGCGCTTTTGAAAAGTGCAACCCTCACTTTCTCTGTCGGCCGCCCTTTTCACTTTCGCGCTCCCCTTATACCCCTCGTACTTCTCCGTTCTCCCCCCTTCCTGCTCCTTTCTCGCCAGCTCCCTTTGATGCGACCAATGATCCGCCGACGCCCTCACTCGCTCGAAAAACTTCCGCATCAGGTTCGTCCACTTGTTCCGGAACCCTGTCGAGCTCGGTCGCAGGTTCAGCGGGATCGCGCGCCGCAGAAGCCGCAGCTCTAGTTCGCACGGCATCGTGATGCTCTTAGGGTTCAGGCACACGAGTTCGGCTGCGGAGACCCTTAGAGATTCTTCCGCGTGGCACACCGCGTCCTCGAGCGCCGACACCGGGACGCGCAACGAACCGAGCCGCCCGCAGGCCCTGTTCTCGTCGCCGTTAGCGTTTCCAGAGGCGGATTCGTGCGGGCGCCCCGAAAACAAGGCCCGGTCCTCGACGAAAGCGTCCAAACCCCCTACAATGATCCCAAGGGATCGCGCAACTTTGAGCGTCACGATCAACGCTGGCACGGCCTCCGCTGACAGATGCCCACCGGTTTTCGTCGCCGCGTCCGACCGCTTTAGACTTCCTTCCCCTTCTTGCTCCCTCTCGGCTCCCTCTAGAGCTTCCTGCGCTGACTGACGGTCCTTCTCTACAGCTTCCTCGTCCCCGCTTTCCAGGGGGGTCGTCCTACGGTCTGAACCCCGCTCCCTCGAAACGGACAGAATCGAGCGCAGCAGGGGCTGCAGGCTGTCGGGATCGATCGAAAGCACCAGTGGGAGGACATATGCCGCCAGATGCGCTCTCAGCCGTTGATCGCTGCGCAGGAGAACGGCCAGCAGGTCCGGCGCCCAGTGCTGACGCCATGCCACGTCACCGGCCACGGCGCCCCCCTCGGCCGTCCAGCACTCGGAGCGGAGGCGCTCGAGGAAGGCCTAGAGAGCGAAGGGTGACGTCAGGTCAACAGACAAGGCTTTAGCCTGATCAGCAAACTCGAATGTTTACCGGAAACTTTGGACGGTTAGTCAAGAGTAATTGCTTGAGCATCTGGTTGCGACGAAGTTAACACGTGAATAGGGCTGAGAATAACCCGTTTCTGCAGTAGGCACGTTTCGAACAAGAGCTGATCCGAATGGAGGGGAATATGGTCTTTGCTGCAGAGTCCAGTTCCTTTGACTCAGAAAACGGCCGACAGACGTTCCTTGCCCAACCGATTTGAAGACGTTTGCAATCAACATGCGCGCCGCGACCATCTTTTAAGACTACGCTGACGAATGCAGTCTTGTGATCCACACTCGCTGCAGCCAGCTAAAGATCTGACTTCCAAAAGGTCAACCCGTCCCCAACAGAATGTCCATACGGACCAAAAACCAGCACACGACCCTCACCTTGAGAAAGCTCTGTGCTTGGCAGCAAATGGAGTCGTTGACCATCGCCTCGAGCACTCCCCGAACGATACGTGGGCTTCTCTCGAGCAGCCACGTGGAGCCCATCCGGCTCGCAATGGCGGCCAGCGGCATGTACCGGCCCTTGCGGTGGGGGCTGATCGCGAGCAGATCACGTGCCAGGTTCTCCAGGAACGACGTGTCGCCGCCGTAAAGGGCGTGAATCTCGATCAGTAGGTCGAAGACAGCCTACAAAGATCCAAAACTAGGTTTGGGGAGGATCGGAAGAGGGTAGTGAGACGAAACAAGGCGAGGTCTTACATCGCTCAAATGTAAGAGCGAAGCGACAATCAATTTGACGTGGCATGCAGTGTGACGTAGGCCGTTCCTTGGCAACTATTGGAGCAGAGTGAGAAAATCACTGGGGAAAGTTGACAACTGTCTCGACAATCACAAAGCGTGAGGGAAAAGGAAGCCTACGGCAATGGGCGATATGGAAACAGTGTGATTTCTAGCGAAATGTCTAGAAAGAGGGGGCAGGAACCATCATAGTAGATCCTCACGGAAAGACGACATCTTCAGACCAGAATTTTCAAAGACATGGATTGTCCAAACAATTGTTGGCCTCCTCCCCCTCCTGGCAATCCTTCAAAACCGACGGGTTCCGGATGCAAATACTCACCTGCGCCTGCTTGACGGTCTGTGTCAGTGGATCCTCCCAGTTGTTCCACACGATCTGCAACACCCGGTCCAGCGCTTCCTTCGTCAGCAGCATGCTCGCTCGTCCTGATGCATCGTTCCTGGACCCCTCCCTTTCCCAAATCGTTTCCCCTCCGCTCCTCTCCGTTCCTTTCAATGTCAAATCACTGCCGGCATTCTCAACCGAGGTGCCGTCTAATGGGTACCCCTCTGCCCCCGTTTCGGCAACAACGTCGCCCACCGCTCTTTCTCCATCGAGAGTCAGCGAAGTCAAACCCTCGACTTCCTCTCCCTCTCTATCCACGGCCAATCCGTTTGCCTCCCCTTCGAGCAAAGTCTCCCAAGACCGTGACTCTTCCGACTGTCCATTCACTCCCTTCACGTCTTCCTCCCGCGACCCGGCTTCCACAGAGTCCGCATTAGCAGCAACAACTTCCCCACTAACCCTCTCCAAACCCTCGTCAACCCCAGTGCTCCGCACCCCCGCTAGCGACTCCTCGAGCGAAGCCTTCACTTGCTGGAGGCACACTTGCAGGCTTGTTATCGCGTGGAACTTGAAATGCGCGTCGGTCGCATCCTCGCACAGCCGACACAGCGTCGGAAGGATCCCGTCGTACAGGAGTGTCCAGGGTTTAGCGGGGGTTAGGGTCCCGGGGTCCGCCGCGGTTGAGGGAGTTTGGCGCAGAAGTGGGCGGTTGAGTTCTGGACGAGGGGTCGTGGTTAGAAGACTCCGGAGGATGCACAGCCGTCCGAATTCGGTGCACTTTCGGAACTCGGTCCGGAGGTCTGAATTCAGCGGGTTTAAAACCAGAGTGTTGACTGGAAGGCGGGATACGGAACGAGAACTCGAAGCTGGTTGAGCTGGGCTACTGGAAGAGACTTCCGTCGCTCCATTTTCACCACTTTTCAAGGACGCGTCGAGACCGTAGAAGCTGACAGCCTCGCCTTCTGACAAGAAGGCTCGAGTGAGTTCGAGTGCGAGATCCGAAGGGTCGGAACCGAGTAAAACGGCCCCGCACAGAGACACACTCGCAGCGACGTCGCACTCCCGAGTCAGAGTGCCGCTTTGCAACACTCCTAGAACTGTTGTGACGATTGCGCGGTACACTTTAAGCCCCTCCCCTTCGTCCCCCCCCGTTTCGCTCGCCATCCCCAAACCTTCCAGTGTTACCCCCCCAGGTGTGCCCCTCGCTTGTGTCCCGGCCCCTTGGGATCCCTCTGCTTGCCTTCCCTCCCCTTGCACTGCCCCCACATGTCCACTGCTCACATACCCCCCTGATCTAGCTTCCGCACCTTCCGTTGCTGCAGTGTTCTTGCCGGCAGCCGTCGAGAGCACGCGGTTGGCCCCTGGCCCGAGCATCTGCTCCCCATACTCGCGCTGTAGAAAAAAGAGCGCTGACAGCGCCTCCTGGCACTCGTCCATCACCGCTGACATCACGTGCCGCGTCGCGTATGCGACATACCCGCACAACTCCCGTGCGATCACGAGAGCCGACAGCTTGGTCACCGGGGCCAACAGGGGCTGGAATTGGGCGCCAATTAGAGTAGAAGTGACCCCCACTAAAGCGAACCGCCGTGCCTTTGGGCCCCCCTCGCTGTACTCTTGACACAGGCGCGCGATGCGAGTCGCCAGCCATGAGAACCGCTCGCTTTCCTGGGGGAGTGGTTTGGGCGTGGCAGGCGACCCCCCTGCTGGAGGTGGTAATGGTGGGGGGGGTAGCGAGGGGAGGCGGATGGCAGTGATGAGAAGGTGAGAGTGCAGTGGTCGGGAGTTCTCGAAGAAGAGAAGCTCCAGAAAGAGGTCCACCGCTTCTGAAAGATCAGAATAATTGGTGGCCCCGTCGGTGCCTTCCTGCAATTGCAAAGTAAAACTTGGTCAGTCTGCATTGCAAGTTACTTGCTGTCCCCTTGGCCAACCCGCTGCATAGCTTCACCGAAAAACGGCTGTGGTTCATGGTGCAGTAATCGCAGTCTAATCCAATGCAGTGCTGGGACTTAGAAAGTAAAGTAGCACCCATACTTGGATAGTCCCTCTACAGGACGGTACAGCTCATCTCGGGCACTTCCATAACTCATCTCCATCAATCAAAACTCTGATAGTCAGGAAGTTACCTGGCTGTCAATCTCCTTTGCTGCCTTCAGCAGCAGCGCCGCAATGCCCTTGAACCTCGCCACCTCATCATACGTGCTCGTCAGCGCTGCAAAACTGCTCAGCTGCGCAGCGAATGCCGCGATGGGTGGGTGGTCGCACCGGGCAAGAAGCGCGGCGCGTGCAACAAACGCTGGTGGAAAGACGATGCCCGTATCCGCCCACCGCTTGCGCCGCTGCTGGCGCACGAAGCGGCCGGACATGGCGACTGCGGGGGTTTACCCCTTGGCCAAAAAGGCTTCTTGCTGAATTACCTAGCTGGCATTGCCACCTTGGCAAAGGAAGGCTGTCCTGAGGAAGTAGGACATTTGTGTTTACTGCTCTGACGTCGCTTGCATGAATTTATGACGGTCTGTGAAACTTTGGAAGAGGTGGAGGTCTGGACAGAAGTTTAAGGCTTTTAACCAACAGATTTGGAGTACCGGTACGACTGCCGGGTGCCGGTCTCTCTTCCAAAGACGACGGTTCTGAATCGCCAAGCCTTCGCCTCTCGCCGCTCAAACAGGAAACCGGTAGTCCTGGCGTCTTGGTTAACGCGCAAACCGCCTAGGCACCTAACCCTCATTCGCAGCTTGCAAGCTGGAACTTGAACTTGAAGCTGGCGTCCCTTTCAATGCACAGAAGGCAACGTCCCTGCCTAAAACCTATTCTTAGCGTCTAGAGAAGAAGCCGCGGAACTCCGCTTGCCTGCTTGCTCATCCCTGGCACACTCAAGTCCCTGCTTGCAGCTGGTGATGAAGTATGAGTGTCGCAGCGGGGCGCTATGCTTTGAGCCATTGAGCGATTGCATTCTGTTGCAATGCTTCAATCACAACAAGCCTTAGCTGTGCACACGCGAATGAAACGTTTCAGCGCCACCCTCAGGCTCTGACCGCCTCTCAGCATTGATTGATTTGCTCTCCAAGTCACGATGCGCGGGTCAAAGAATCGCAAGGGTGGGAGCTTTCTCGGGGGCCGGCCCAGTATAACTTACATTTACTTCCTGCTGACGATGACAGTCGCCAGCGTTCTAATCGCCCGAGATTGGTTCCACCCCAGACTGGAGCTGCTGCATCAACGCGAGTTTGTGCAAGAGGAAATGGGGTTCTTCTACCACAAGTCGACAGCAGAGAGCGCTTCTTTGCGGAGATCAGCAGCAGGGGAAACCGCCTCCGAGGCATCAGGGGCTGGTTCGGGGGCAAAGGCAAGTGGCGCAGACGTCATGGAAAGGGGCAGTGTGAAGTTTCTAGACCTGGGGAAAGCAGCATATGTGCGGGGGCGCAACTTTGAGGAAGACGGGTACACTTTAACGTGTCCGGAAGGCCAGGGCCCCTTGTTCACCCGTCCGCTGTCCGTAGTAATCGCCTTTCCGTACGCGGGGTATGAGTGGGTTAGCAGGGCGCTTGAGAATGTTATCGATCAGCTAGATGAAAAGAAGGCCGCTGGAAGCGATACCAATGTGTTCCTTCTAAAGGGAGGGGCAGCTAGTGACTTGAGACGAGTCACTCAGGGCAGGGAGTTTCGGGCCGTCGTTGTGTTACGCGACCCTCGCGACTGGGTCACTCTGAAAGTTCTGAGTCGACCGAAGGCCGAAAGGTCCTGGTCAGAGGGGCTGTTGGGAAACCTGTTCGGACGGGCAGCGGCGATTGACACCGGCGTTTCGGAAGCATTAGACATCGAGATTAGTCAGCTGAAGCAAGATGTTGAGAGAAATGTGCGAGGGGGGTCCAGTCTTCTGTCCAACACTTTCAACTTAGCAAGGTTTGCAAGCGAGGCGAACGATTCGAGCAGAGTAGCATTTGTTAGATATGAAGATATGTGGCAAAGGAATCCCAAGGGGGGCTGGCCCGCGATCGCGTGCTGGCTGGGATTACACAAACAAAGTGTAGCGCAGCTTTTTGAGAATCAGCAACGGCTAGAGCAGGAGGGCTTTTTCGTACCAGGAGTCGGAGCCGAGGGGTATGCCCCCGGCCTGTGGCGGAACCACTTCTCCGCTGAAAACGCGAGGCACTTCAAGGAAACGTTGAGAGGTGTCGTGTCCTGGCTTGGTTACCAAAGGGATGAGAGTTGGGGCTGACCATAATGCCACGGCACAATTCTGGCGCTAGAAGCTTACGGTTTGGCTGCCAGTCGTGTCCCCTTCCTTAGCTAAGCTTGTGCTCTGGTTGTCCGTTCTGCCAACCTTTTTTTGCAAATAGACTGCATGCAGCGGTCAATGGCTAAGTACTGCTACATTTGTAATTTGGTGACTGACTCGAAAAGTAGTAGGAAAGCTTCAGGTAGACATAACGCGCCGACGATTCTTAAGACGCAATTGATTGAGAAGAGAGGACTGCTTAACGGGCAATAGAAGGCACTTGGCCGCAGCATGACCATCTGATCTATATAAAAGCAAAGCTAGAAGGCTTTAAGCAACTTGAAGAGAGATTATACTGAACTCCGGCATCTGCCAGTGCAGTGACTAGCAGCTTTCGAGTTAAAGCTAGTGGCACCACTAGATTGTGTAAACACGCTCTTGCACATCTTGGTCTGAATTTGATGTCACTGGCACATCTTGTTATCTATAAACATCCCATGCATGATGGATGCACTACGCGGTCGGATATATCCAAATGCCTTCAATTTGTTCAATGCTGACGGTCGAATTGCCCCAGTGGTGCGAAGTTGCGCGCTAGCTTTGATATGTATATGTAGACCTATGTGGACCGCGCGCGCATCCACATGCCACGGGACCGCTACGGTGCAATTTTCCTTGGCGCAGAATTGCGCCATGTCGACAAATTACGGCGGCCGCGCCGTAGCATACTCCTACTTTCAGACCTATTTATTGCCCCAAAATCGCCGCAGCTCCGTGGTGGTTCGCAAGTCTTTCGTACGACGCTCGTACGCAAAATTGGGTCCTGCCACGATAAATTGGTACCTTTGTAGGAGATTGCCTCTGAAAGTAGCCCTTGAAGGAACGTGTGTCAATGGCTGCCATGGCAAGATACACGATTCTCCTTCCCAGAGCAGCTCCATGGATGGCTAAGGAAGGCATGTACCACCTTCCACACTTTTCTGTGGATCAATCCTCTGGCGCTGAGCGCCACCATGGAAGGTGGTCCTTCAAGTGCTTCCACCATCTTTCATATGGTCCATCTCCCCCGGATCATGTTCGAAGTGCATTGACACCACACTCTGGACACACTACGATTTAACTCAAGTCCTACCGTAGTACAGGTAATAGAAGGGGTAGGCACTGGGCAGTGTCAGTGTAGACTCCGAGTCCGGGAGCTCAGATCTAGGTCACCTAGTAGGTACCTATGTAGCGGCAGAGACGATCCCTCAGCTCTTGAATTGCAGGGCAGCTTTGCAGGGCCAGCGCCAAAGCAAAACGAGAACTCTGCCATCAGACGCATTACAGGCTTGGCACAAGAGGGCAAAAAGCAAGAGGATTGACAATGTAGCTCTTACAGTTGGCGCAAGGAAGGGGTGCAACTTGAGAAGGTGCAAGGTCTTGTGAAGAGCCCACGCACCCAAGAAGATACAGGAGCAGGCTTTGTCAGACAGGGGTGCTATGCTAGCTTCAGAAGGGTCCGCTGCGATGGCCCAGGATCAGGAGTGATGGGCAAACATCCACCTGTTACCAGCAGCAATAGGGTCGTGAGTTCAGAGGCACTGGAGGCTCTAGTGGAGCAACATGAAATCACCCGGGCAGTCAGCGGTAAGTGAAGCTCATGACAGAACGTTGTCAGGATTGTGGCTTGACATATTGTATCAAATCTAAGAAAAAGCTGAAATCGTTTCAAACTTACGGCTGGGCCCAAAGTAGCAATAGATGAAAATGCAAGGCAATGCTTTAGAGCCATTTGGTCGTACAGGAATTTTGAAAGGCCCTCACAATGCAACTGGGAATGCTGCCTTGTCATTGGACTTTTGGAGTGGCAGAGCTCTGTCCTCAGTTGCATTTGGCCCGTGGCACCAACGCCAAAGCTCTGTAGGCACCCGGAATTGAAAGGGTTATCCAAGTTGCTTACGAGATGCCGCCAGGAGAATTTGCTGCTTTTGTCTGCTGTCAAAGCGTTGCTCAAGAGATTCCAAGCCTAATGAAAGGGAGTCGATGCAGTAGTTGCTGCTGATAATCTGGAGGCTGCTATCTGCATGGTTAAAGATGCGATGAACTTAGAAGAGCACTAGTTCACCTAAATGCGCGCTTGGCTCTCAAACAGATTGGCATTGCATTTACGAAACAGAACAGAACTGAAAACTCGCCTCGCTTTGACCCATCTTGCCTCAGTTACACCCCGTTAAAGCTACAATTTGCTTCTTCATGTGGTCATGTGGTGAAGGACAGCGGCAATGTAAGGAAGTCAAGAAGGCCCAGCTCGCCTCAGTGCTTCTAGTAGATCGTACGTGGTACAAAGTTTAAGAAGCGAGTGCATTCACTCAGTGCCAGTCAGAGAGCATTCTCTGGCAGCTTCGCGTTCTCTTCTTGATCATGTACTGCCCTACAATCTGCACAATTCAAGGCTTATTTTGTATTTTTGACATTGTGAGGCTTGATGTCCACTGTGCAACAATACCCGATGACTTGCAGCAGAAGCTGTACATAGCTTCAGATTTTAGTCTTCCAGTGGGAAGACGAGGGGAAAACTTTTCTGGCCATGCTGAAAACAGTTTTTTCTGAGAAGCAACGAGGCACCATTCTGGTCACCCATCTCTAAAAAAGGTTGACGGGCAGATCGGGCACGGAGCTTCCACCACTTAGAGATTGCTGGTGAGTCTGGTTCCATCGTCTTGCAATTGAGCTGCCGTTGTTGGGACTACTGCAATATAAAGATATGAAACTGGCTTTGAAAGCATAAAGTTGAGCTGGTAGGATGTAAGGAGGGCGTTGCATAGCTGGCTTTTAAAAGGCAGTGTTGGACGACATTGTGACGTCGTCGTCAATATCCACCACTTCGAAGTTAATGTTCTCCTATCTTGGCATTGCAGGTGGCGGTCGGATGGCTGGCAAGGTGGGAGCTTGTTCTGATCATCTGCGCCTTGTGGCGCAAGGAAGGTTGGCAATATTTATACAAAGCTAGGGGCTCGCTGAGCTTTGGTCTAGCTGCTTTGAAAGCGTTCAGGACGGCTGATTGAAGGCTAGAAGCAGGACTGAACGTGAAGCGGAGTGCTCCAAATGCATTATTGATAACATTGCATCTCTGATGGTTTTTTCCTTCTCTAAAGCCCTTCGTCAAATGGGCACCCACTTGAAACGACTGTAAATCTTCGTATGAAGTCTGCGTTTTGGCAACAAAACTAGCAAAGTGTAGCAAGGCTATGCTGTTGTGATGGGTGCATGCCAGCGGCAAATACGGATGCAGCAAATTGACATCCGGGATGATTCAGTGCGCATGCGAACGAGCTTGCAATGCAACGGGCTGCCCTCGACTTCATCAATAAGACGGCAAGAGCCACATTACTCCATGGCATGCCTGGCATTTCGTGATGTGCCGTCCTAAGTCCCGCTTAAACAATCTACTTACAACCTGCTTTCAATATTGCATCATACTGGCACGATGTATGCGGTAGAAATCACCCAGTAAATTTTGTAGGCTATACAATACAGATATGCCGCTCACGAATCTTGGTTCCATTATCCATATATACCTATTAGCATTGCTCCGACAGGATACCGTCATTATTAGCTCTTTCTAGCTAATGATGTGCTTTAAAGCCGTGAAGCTCTAGAAAGGTGCCAGGCATAATAATGTACTGCTCTCATGCAGGATTAAATATAGTATTAGTAACTCAAGTCTTGTATACGACAGTATGCTAGAAGGACGACTTGAATTGCATGATGCTGGTCAGCTCCATAGAACAATTCAAGTGCATTGAAGCCTCACTGCATGAGGCTTCGCTTGTACTGAGACCGTAACAGAGTCCCCAGCCTCAGGTAAATCACCGGGGCGTCAGTCGAATGGTCCATGGGCCTGGCGGCCCCCATGGCCGACGTCAGGACGCTGCCCGGTAGGTAGAAATATAATCGGGGCGCGTCGGCCAGTGCTGGGCCCTGGCATGCTCCCGGTACTGCTACAGTACACCGTACGGTAGTGTTAAAATGTTGCACATTTTGTAGCAGCGTACAGGTGCTCGAAAAGTCGACGAATATGCGTCAATATTGCGGCAAGACTGCACCACGCACATTTTATTTTGGCGGAAACTTGGACGGCACTTGGCGCATTATTGATTCCGATTTCGTACGCGGAGCGCGCCAATTTTCCGCGTAGACTGCCGGAATATTGCCCCAAGACAAATTGCACCATAGCTGTCCCGTGCATGACGTACATGCTCATGCACTGAATAACTAATCAGCTTGCAAGATCAGATTCATCATGCCGTACGGTACCGGTGACTGAAGTATTTCGACGCTGTTTCATACTTGCCGCCACGCACGGTGGGTTTCGAAAGATCATCTGTCCTTTCAGGATGCATATAACCCGTCCATATGTAAACGTACATATGTATTGTACGCCGTTTATGGGGATCGTTGTTCACCGTGATCATCTATGAATATCACACTAAATAAATTCATAATGTGATCAACGAGGCACTGCATTCTCCGGTCAGTGCCGCCGCACTTTTGAAGACGTATTTCCCATCAGCTTCAGATCGACTCAAAGTTTGAACGCAGAATTTTCATCACCTCCACGATTGCCTTCAAATTTTGCAACTCAGCAATCGAGGCCGCGCAATGGCCACTTGGAACGGGTAACTGTAAACTAGGGAGATTTCGTTGGAGGTGATCAAAAGAGGCAGTGTTTATGAACATCCCATGCAGCTTGCACGGGCCCTGTATGTGTCATCCAACGTCTGGCCGGCCCAACAAGCTACCGTGATCTCGTGTCTCCGAAACACGCCAAAGGAAGTCCGGCAGAGACGCAAGCTCTTCCGGCTTGGTCCAACCTGTCGGAGTGCAACCACCCGGGGTTTACTGAAAAATCGCCATTGTGTAATACGCCAGCTGTCGTTATCTCACATATGGCTACTTCATTCAGAAGCGCCGACTACTGCTGCCGATCCCGTTCACAGATTCAGGGGACGAAGGCGTCTGTTTGTGGAAGCTCCCGTCGGCTCTCCCGCCGAGGACGATCTTTCGCAGCTCGTTTGCAACTTCTTCAGCGGTCACTTTGGGCGGATTTGTAAAACCGACGAACTCAAACTGCGCGCAGAACCGCAACGGTCAGCTGTGGGGCCACCTCTACTCTGTGGTACGCCTTTGCGGAGCATGGTAGTAGGGATGAGAGCAGTCAGATGCGTTATCAAATTCGAAGATTGCGAAAGTAATGGCGAGTAGCATACGATGTCACTTGTCGCAACGTTGAAAACGTTCTTAACCCTCTGTCAATCAATCATTTTGGAGTCTACTGAAGTCGACAAAAGCGCATCATTGGTGGTGCCATATAGGATTTCTGTTTCTCTTGCGGGAGCGTAAGCGACGGCAACTGTGGAAAGGTACAAGACAGGTGCTGTGTGGGCGCACCGTTTCGCCTGTTTTGAGCTCGAGGAACACCCGGCTCTCGCGCATGCCGTGCTTCTTGAACTGGATGTCCTTGATCGAGTCGTGCACGAACTGCAGGTTCTGCGCAATCAGAAAGATGCAGGTTCAGAATCTTCGACAAGTCGCCGTGCTCCAAAAGTTTCCCTTGTCGAAGTACCAATTTGGTTTCTTCAAAAGCGCGCTCAGATCATACAATTCATTTGAAGGTATGCCAACAATAACGATGCCTTCAATACACGCCCAAGAGTGGCACCGTCTAAGCGGAGAATGCAGCGACCTTGGAAAAAATGCTTCTACGTTTACCAGAGGATTCGACGAACTCCATCTCAGGCCTCAAAAAGAAGACCGTCGTTACGCAGTCTCCTTTGCCCGAGTTCTGGCGCTTTTGCAAATCTGTTGTGAAGAATTCACAGCTCACCTTCTCAGGGTTCTCCGGGCGGTCAAAGATGAGTAGCGTCGGTGTCGCTACCAGCGTTCCGGCCCGGTTGTGCACCATGCCGTGCTTGGAGCAGCTGTACCCTGGCGGATCAACGGAATGAGAGGGTTCAGCGGAAAGCGTGGTCTAAGCGGAAGCGCAGCGAGTGACAGAGTTACGGAGCGGGAAGCATTCTGCATATGTCATGAGCCGTTGAATGCTGAAAAGGTACGTGTCTAGCGTCGAGAGTAAGCGTGAGAAGAGGGCTCTCGAGGAGCTGCAGTTCAGACAAGTCCGAAAAACCTAACGCTTCGGTTTCTTCAAAATACTTCCAAAGCCATCAGACGGTCGGGGTGAGTTCTTAAAATAATACTGATGGATCCATAAGCCACAGCAAATGGAAGTCCGGAAAGGAGGATGTATATTCTGAATGGGCAAGTCGACGTTGGAAGGACTGGGCAGAAATGTTGTCAAACGGGAAGAACCTTACGAAGATCGAACCTTAGGATTCAAAAGCCATGACAAGCGCAAGAATAAAGCTCACTTTTAAGGACGACCTCCCGGGCCGTTTTGGTGCGCGGCACGAAGGCCCCATCGGCGGTGACTCCCCGCTCAGCCAGGTACCCCTCGAGGTGCGCCACGGTCCCTTTGACTTGCTGGAAAATGGTGGCCAGGACAATGCCCCGGTCGGCGAACTTGCTGAACTGGACGGGCTTGCGGTTGGCGCCGTAAAAGCACAAGTGGTTGCTGCGAAGTCAGAAGGGCGGGGTTTGAGAAGTATAGCTGACTGGGCATAAATCAACTGTGGTGATTGAAGCGTATGATTGGCGAGACATTGCAGACGGAAGCATCGAGCGGCTTAGCTGGCTGCGACGGAATCTGCCGTTAGAAAACAATATGACGAGCAGAGAAGGTATTCAAAGGCAGGCGAGCCAAAGCCTTCTCCGATGGAGGGTCGGCGGGCATTACCGGACCTTTGAGCTGATCCCTAACTGCGTAGATGTATCTACGTCCTACCCCTTTCGAACGGCATCATTCTCCATAGTGCTACATGACCAGGAGTTGAGACAGGGCGCCAACGCATCCGTTGAACTATTTTGTTTCTTTAATTATTTGGCTTTCCGAGAAGCTCACCTGCCCACGTTGTCTAGCCGCACAATTTTCTCGTACGCGAGCGCGACGCTGAGCCGCGCCTCGTGCGCTTTCCGCGAGTCGGGCAGCGTAGGCGCCCAGCACACGTGCTGCTTCGTTACGTACAGCGTGCCCGCCAGCTTCTTCGCGTTCCTGGGAAAACAAAAAGCTGATCACGTCAGCAAGGAAAGCGACAACGAACGCTGACGTCGAAAAATAAAGGAAGAATTGTTGTTTCGTCACACACAGCATGCAGCCAGCTTCTTCGCGGTCCTGCAGAAAGCAGAACCCGCTGACGTCAGCAAGACAAAAGGGGGCCAAATCCGGGCAGTGAGCAGGGCCGACGTCAAGCAGGTGGAGAGGAGTCAGGACAGTTGAGCGTACAGCTTCCTCGCCGTCTGGGTTCAGAAAAGCGGACGCCATCAAAGCCAGTACAGAGAAGCGTTGACAATAGCCAAGCGAAGCGGGAGTGATGCCTGTTATGCTTGGCATTTGCTTCACGTCTGGAGGAACGCCGCATCCCTCCTGAAGCAAAGACAACATAACGGCTGAGTTCGGAGTACCGAGCACGCTTGCTGATTTATAATCCCCTAAATTGTTTCCACGAAAGAAAGGCCGCTGAGGTCGACGACATGAAGGTACGTTCCGTCCCCTTTTGGCAACCAACTACGTACACTCACAGAGCCATGCAATCTCTTCGAAATCTCGGACAATCCCAAATCATTCTCCAAAAGCGCCACTTAATGCTTCCTTGTCATGTCGCCCTTGAACACCCATTTGTCACCTCACCTGCAGGGAAACGCGGCGACCATCTTGTCTTCTCTGGGCAGCCCAAAGCGCGCTTGCACCATGATATCTTTGGTCAGGTCCTCCTGTTTCTCCAGCAGGTCTTCCGCGATCTCGTCGTCCTTCCGTTGCCGGAGCAGGCAGATGATATCCGGCAGCTTGAGTTCCGCTTCTGTTCCGCCGGATTCCGCTCGTTCCAACTCGGCTTCGTCCTCTCGGCCCACCCAAGAGGCGGCGCTAGCCGTGCTGGACTGCCGCTGAAGATCCGGGGCACGGGACTCCTGCAGAATGATGACGTCCTTGTGACGTAAGTCTCGGTCGTGTGGGGATGTAGGTTTCGCGTTGACAGAGGGGTGAAAACGCAATTCCCCATTTCACAGCCACTTGTGCTGCTTGATTGACTCCATGTTAGAAAAGCTACGTAACCGACAAGATTCAGACGGAGTAGTTGGTAATGAGGAATGCGAAGCCGGTTAAAATCCTACTTTCAGTTGACGCAAACGCCTAGGCTTTCCAAACATCAGAAGATACTTCGTGGACGGGCTCTTGCCTTTGCAGGGGTCTCCGGCGCTTCCCCCCAGTCGCTGCTCCGACGTCTCCGGTCGCTTTTTCCCGCCACGCTCGTTCCGTGCTCGCTGTTGAACCGGTCCCAAGCCCGCCAGTACTCGGCGCATACTTCGTGCGTGGGCGCGCGCCACAACTGCGGGGCGACACGTGGCGTGTTGTTTGACCCTGGCAATGAGATCAATGCTTCTGAACTCAAAGGTGGCTTCCAGGGTGGAAGACAAGGATGTGTTTCACGGTGCCAGTCTCGTTGAAAATGTTTAGTTCAAACCGTACTTGGGATTCTCTTCCACGTCATGCAAGCGTTGCAGGTTCCTGAACACAAAAACAGGTCATGAATACGGACCTGCAACACTTCGGAGTGTCCTTTGGAACCGAACCCATTACGAGCTGATGCTCAGGAACGTTGTTGAGAAGATTTGGAAACAGGTCCAGACCAACTGCCCACCTCAAGGATTTTGTTTAGCCGCGCCGCGGCCTTCTCCATCTTGCTCTTCTTGAGCCCGCTCCCGCCGCCGTTGAAGTAGTCGTACAGCACCTGCAGGGCTTCCCGCATGTTGGTGTAGTCAGCCATCGTCATCGGCTCGGGATCCTGCATCCAAATCAAGACAAGGTGGTTAGCCCTCGGATTTGCTCCGACAAGTTGAATTGAAATTCACTCCTTCAGTTGCGATGAGTCTGGGCGACGATGCCGACATCTGTGTATTTGTACTTCGCACTTCCATCAGAGAGTTTACCAGTCGGACTCTGAGTTGTCGTCATAGCTTGTCTGTGTAAAGAGGAGACACGACTACCCGACCTGCTCAATAGGAGACAGGAAAAACTTGCAAAATCTACAAGCCAGTAAGACGACAAGGGCCGTAAGACTTGGAACTCATTTCCGGCTTCTGAACGGACAACATCGGAAGAGGGAGGGGTCAGTAAGCAGGAGCGATTAAAGTTAGGTGCGGTTTTGCTGACCTCATCCTTGTTGAGCGCAAACTCCTCCATGCAGAAGAGCAGGCCCATCCAGATCTCTTTCAGGACCCGCCGGAACACGCGCGCGCTGAGGTAGTCGTTCATCATCTGGGAGGTAGTACAAGAAGCAGATTCAGGAGAAGCGCTGTCACAATCCTCGGCGCAGGTAAGAGGAAAAGTATTCTGGAAGTATGGGCATTTTCAAGCGTCTCGTTTTCGGTTATCAGGCGACGTCGTCTCCAATACAGACCGACATAGTAAGGAGATATCAGCAGAACTTTATCGTAGAAAGCCACGGAACAGGAGGTAATTAGGTATGAAATGCTAGTACATCCTCCTGATGGGCAACGCAAAAGCACATTGACCTTCAAAGGCAGAATTGACACTTACCTTCAGGTGCTGATCCAGGTATGACGTCAGAGGTGCGAGTCTCTCCTCAATGGTGGCGGGCGCCTCATGGGCCTTGTCCTTGGACGGCGACTCGAAGAGGTACTGTACCTCGCTCTGCATACGGCTCTGCAACCAAGTCCGATTCGATTCAGGGAACATCAGCGAGAAAGGATGGGACGAGTGTGAATGAAAGCAGGGAGTTAGGCTGGGTACAGGTGCGGGCGCGGAGCGCATTAACCTGTGCTTTAGTAGTTTCGATTTCTTGGTGTCCTATCCCTTTACTGGCAATGTCTGTTTGAACTGAAAACTACTGAAAGACTGAAGCGGAAAGAGGCGCTTCAAGCAGAACATCAAGAATTCCTCAGGTTGATTCTGAGAGGATCAAAGATATATTCTTTCAGCGAACCTGCTCGAGCGCGCGAAGATCTTGGCTTCAAAGACGCGCATCGAATCCCGAGAAAAGGGGACGTTCTTGAATGCTTTAAGCGCGGTTGCCTGTTGGCGTATTGCTCTGCCCTTCACCACATCGAGTAGACAAAGTCTCTGCTTTACGGATCTTTAGGAAAGGAAGAGACTTTAAGGATCTCTAGGAAAGGCTGGTCAGAAGGAAGGTGCGTCCTATGGGACGAAGGATTTCTGAAGCAGAACAAACCACGAGCTTTTCAAAGCTTGAAACAGGCTCCAGCATCAGCACGGCTGGCTATATTTTTGCAACTTTAACATCACACAAACAAGGTGATTTTGCTGATATACACCAACCCCTTCAAATCGACAGCGCAGCCTCTCACCTGTATGTTTTCAACGATAGACCCCACCACGTCCTCGTACGTCTGACTGAGGTAGTCTTTGAGCGCCTCAAACCCTTTCCCGACCGGATCCTCTTCCTTCCCCTCGTTCAACACCGCCCACATCCTGGGCATGAACGCCCCTCCCGACTCCCTCTTCCCCCGCTCTAGTTCCTCTGGCCGCTCCTCGTCGATCGACTGCCGCGCGCTGGACGCCCGGCTCGTGTTCGACGACCGGTTTAGGACCGACTCGTCGAGGGAGGGGCGGCCGCTGGAGGGGTCGGATTTAGAAACGGATTCCAGTTCTTCGTCCGGGAACCCTAATTCATCATCGTCTTCGTCTGTTCCTTCTTCCATGCTGACCCGCTTCGCCATCTCGCCCTGGCTCTCCCGCTTGTTCGTGTTCGTGGGCGCTCCGTTCGGTTCCGCTGTTCCGCTGGGGTTGGAAAGCGGGACCCCGGAAGTCCGGCGCGAGGGGCCAGACTCGACGGCCGCCTTTTGGCGGTGCAGGGTGTACGCTTCGGTCCACTTTTTCTCCAGGTTGTGCTCCAGCTGCTGCTGCTGGGTACGTACCGCGCTTAGGTTGTTCAGCTGCAATTGACCAGGCCCGCGAGATGAGGCGACACTTTCAGAATTTAATTTCTCGCGGGCAAGTTAGGTGCTATAAAATTGAAAGTGCAACACCAATAATTACCGTCTGCAGTATGAGTGCGTGCATGTAAGAGGGCAAAGTAATCAAGAGATTCAGGTGACAAAATGATTTCCGAGAATGTGAGTCCGGAGAAACACCCTGGAAGGAAGTAGGCTCAACGACTTGAAGCAGGATTCAGTCCTGCTCAAGGTGTTCCCAAACACAATCTTTGAGACATTGCCTTCTCACTCGTTACCAACGTCTTGCAGTGAACCACCAAAAGAAAATGATCTGAAGAACTGTGAGAGCCAATAGTTGAGGCCCCGTAGAGACGCGACGCGCACCTTGACGCAGAGGCTTTTGGTGATGGAGAGCTGCGGCGGGGCCTCCTTCCGGCGCATGAGCTTTGTGAGGATGCCCTTTTCCTCCTCGCTCGGCAACGAAACCGGCAGCTCCTCCAAACACAGCTTCTCGAGCACCTGCAAACATTGATTCTAAGCTCAACAAACCGAGTCGCCAACACTGCGGACCTGATTTGGTTCTTGAATCCATGCTCATTGACAATTCTGAGTCGCCAAATGGTTTCAACCAGAGGTTGTTTTTGGATCTGCGGTCGAAAACAACCGCCGAATATGTTGGAACCGATTTTTTCTTGAGTCTATGCTCGACAACGTTTGCGATTTGCCAAATGATTCGGAACGAATAATTTCCTCTTGGAACATCTACGAGCGGGAAAAGCCTTCGACCATCTGAATGGAAAAGCCTTCGACCATCTGAATGGAAAAGCCTGCTCTCATCATCCGATGCGACGCGGAGGACTCGCTTGGTACAAGTGACAATGTACTACAACTGTATTTCAGCACATCCAGACGCAATCTTGGCTCAAATCAGACAGGAGGTAGCAGCGTTCGGACCGCTGCGCTCATGATACTTTTGAATCAGCACACATTCAATCCGTCATCAAAAGCAAGTGCTGTTTACCTGCGCGTAGGTCTGGATGGCGGCGCAGACCCCGGCCTCGGCGGCCGCCATGTAGTCGCGGCCGAAGGCCAGCTGCAGCACGCGGTTGTGCATCTCGTCCGTCACCTCGTACACCAGCATGTACAGCTCTGGGACAAAAGGAGAAGCATCAGAATTCAAGGTTTAAGATTCAGCGTTCGGGTTTGAATCATAGGCTTTCAGTTTCTTATTTTGTGCAAGACATCTCGCCTTAATGACGTCCTCCGATATTTGATAGCACTGTTGTTGCAACGGTGGAACCGCACTCTGTTTCTTCTTTCCAAAAAGGGACTATGACGAAAAGGTGAAGTGGTCGAACTCTTGCTTTACTCTGGGCGCAGATGCGCAACCAAAAAGCTCACTCCAGCTTATTGTAATAAGAAAGGTCGGAGGCTTGCGCCTCTACTACGATCTTACAGCTTATCACACTCGCCGATAGTCTAATCATAACGCAAGCAGAACTCAACAGATGATTGGCTCAGCCACCCGAAACAGAATGTCGTCAGCCGTTTTCGACAATCTCGCAAGTTTCTCAATGTTGAGATTCGACCTTAGCAGGTACGAAGAAGCTAAAGTGGGATATTGGCTTCAATCGTTCCACTCCTCGGAAACGAAGCCACTCCTCCGCCGCTCCACCGAGTGTGTCTCCCGTAGCCCGTATTTCTCGTTCATGAAGCACTCCACACACCGGACTCCAAAATGAAACTCAGATGGTTCAAATACTTGTGAGTATTCCTCACCGATGATGGAGAAGCTGAAGAGCGCGCTCTTGGCCGCGGAGACGGGCTCCCACTTCTCGGTGCACACAACGGAGCTGATCCAGTCCATCATGCGCGGCCGCGTCTCGGCCATCCACGCGACGATGTGCTCGTGCAACAGCGACTGCACGTCCAGCCGCGGCTGCCGCACGCCCAGGCCGTCCAGCACCGCGTGCAGGTCCTGGAAGGCGACCACCAGGTCCTGGAATAGAGGGGAGTGGTCGCCCAAGTTTGAGATTGAGGAAAGAGAATCAGATTCTGATTCCGTTCTCCGGAAAGGAAGGCGGGGAACTTGGTGTTCAGCCGGGGCTGCCGCACGCCCAGGCCGTCCAGCACCGCGTGCACCTCCTGGAAGGCGATCAGCAGGCCCTGGAACAGGGAAGAGAGGTCGCCTAAATCAAGGTTTAAACGAAGGGGACTGCATTCTAAGGGAAGGCCGGGACTGCACGTCCAGCCGCGGCTGCCGCACGAAGGGCCGTTCGGCAGGAAGTGCAGCTCTTGGATGGGGACCACCACCTGGAACAGCGAAGAAACGTAGCCGGAGCAATTGAAACTGGGTTTGGTTGTCAGGCTGGTGGATGAAGAATGCTCAGGAGGACGTAAAAGGAACCGAACAACGCGAACCCGTCACGAGCTTTTACTAGTCTTGACTGCAACGCATAGAAAGCTCCCAACCTTCGACCTAGAAAAAGCACTGCACGCACCGCGGTCTCCACGTCATGACACTTCACAAGCGCGAGCAGCCAATATTCCATCACCTTCCAGGCCCGCCCGCACTTCCTACTCTCTCCGTATCTCACTCCATCGCATAGCCGTTCGGCCAAGCTCTTTCTCCTCCTTCGAAGGAAGTGCTCCGTCTCCCAACCTGTGCAACTACCGCCTGACGCACCCGTGGAGTGTTTCCGAGCGCTCCGCAAACTATGTACGACCTACCTTATGCTCCCGGGTGAAAGTTTTCCCGGGCGCCGCCTCGACGTACTTCTTCACCGCGGTCGACAGCGCCTTGTAGTACACGTGCGCGGCTGTCGGCACCAGGTCCACCTCTTCCGGGAAAGACGGCGCGAAATGCGCGTCCAGGTTCGCGATATCCGCTTGCACGGCCGCGGCCGCGCGTGCGAGCGACGCTGGGTCGAGGACCACCGCGCTGGCGGGCGCGGGGCCGTCGGAGGCGAAGAGGTGCGCCTTGAACCGGTCCTCGCAGCACTTCTGCGGAATGACGGAACGACGGAACAGAAAGCTGAGCGCCGCGCGGGATATTTGATCGGAGCGACGCGCCTTTGTCAAAATCGAGCAGCAGAATGGACAAAGAATCGAAGCAGTATCGAAGCAGTATCGAAACGACAATCTACCGCTCTCTTTTAGGCACTCGTTTTCCGATACTTTCTTTTTCCAAGTCTGCAACAATCACGGACTTGCGAAGAACGAAAGAAGCACACGCCTTCGCACGCTTAAAATGTTGGGAGAACAAGCAACTTGGAAAGATTCGACAGCGAACTTAAGCCATCAACTTGACTCTCATTCCATTCAAATCTCTGCGGGCCTCTCCTCCGCTTTTATTACTGGAGTTCTATAATTGCTTTCCTTCTCCTAATCTGAATCGACGTTGTGCTTCTTAATCGAATGACGGTGCTTGAACGCGTCCCAAAACCTTCAGGTTCTACATCCCAAAACTTGCAAGCTCTGATCAACAGACGCTCTGGCGTACCTCGACCCAGCTCCTGACGGGGATGGCAATCTTCTTGACGTCCAGCTCCCACTTGAGCAGCAGGCTCAGCAGCTGCAGCACCAGCTCCAGCGCCGCCGGCGGTTCATTTCGGGGGAACGCCGTCTGGAATGACGTCACCGTGCTCGTGGCGGGCTCCATCAGAACTGCAGATGGGGTGTGCCGGAACTCTCGTTATACGTGAAACTGACACCTCTGATTTAGTGTGCGCCACTTCTGCTGTCTGACCAATTTGCTCTGTAAGCAATGATGCCGTTTGATAGCTTACAACGGAGCGGTGATTCGAACCCGTCGTATTGCGCGGCAGGCTTCGAGCAGATGCATGATTGAGGAGAAGATTGCCTGACAACGTTTAAAAAACCACTCTTCAAACTGTCAGAAATGCGGGCCACGGTTTGACCCCGAAATCTCAACCAGATGCCGGTTGAGGGCCTCTCCAGTGTGCCAAAGAAAGTCGTTCATAAACGAGGAGCCAACCCCTTAGCAACAATCTTCTGGATACGCGATCTACCGTCTGTTCTTTGCTTGCGGTTCACACATCCGTGCCGCACACAATACTGCAAAGATGTCCACCTGTTTCCTCTTGAGGCCTTTCGAGCTTTGAAGCGATTGATGAGGGATTGCCTACCCGCGATGGCCTCCCCGTGCAGGTCCATCTCGCGCTTCGTCAGCAGCCCCTTTTGCGCGAGGTAGCTGACGTCTGTCAGCTGCGCGACCGTCGCGCGCAGGTAGGGCGGGCCCGTCTGGTACCTGTGCGCGAGCTCGCCCAGCATCGCAAGCGAGCAGCGCGCGCCGCGGATGTGGAAGTGGGACTCGAAGAGGTGCAGGATCTCGGACCAGTGTTGGTTCAAGGAGAAGGACTCGCCTGCGGGCGGGGACGAGATCTGGGCGTCAGTTGACAGTTCTTTGAGCCAACCGAAGGTCTGTTGTATAGTCTGGTACCAAGAGAATATTTGCTAGTCCCTTTGGATATCAGTGTTCTCCTCCAGGTTTTTGAGGACTGGAATGGAAAAGCCTAGGATCTGCACGACTTATCTTGAAGAACTTCTGTGCACAATTTCTCCTCCAGGTTTCTGAGGTCTGGAATAAAAAAGCCTAGAATCTGCACGACTTTTCTTGAAGAACTTCTGTGCGCAATTTCAACACGGAAAGAGGCACACTCAAAAGTTTAGCGGACGCCGCGCATTGTCATGCCTTTCGTTGAACAGCCCGCTCAATGCAGATTCCGGTATCTTCTTTCAAAGAGAAAGAGGATTTTCCTGAAACTTCTCGAAGGACTCTTGTATACAATCCCAATCGTAGAGACGTGCACGTCAAGGCTTAGCAAACGTGACACATTGATTTTTGAGAGACCCGCTCCATCAAACTTCCGTACCCTTTTTGAAAAATGCTCACCAACTGTATCTTCGTTCTCTTTCCACGCCACTGCCAGCAGGGCATCGTACGCCTTCTCGACGTCAGCCACCGGTATCCTTGCCGCATCCCGCCCGTCGGCGTTCTTGCGGCGGTGGTGCGTTGCAGTGCAGACGACCTTCAGCTGGACCTGGCTCTTCATGGGGCGGCCTTTCCAGTCGCGGAGGGCGACCATCTTAGAGGGGACCGTGACTAGAGTGGCGCCTTTCGGGGAGCCGGAGGCAAGCAGGTCCTGGAAGGTGAGGGATCCCTCGCCGATGAAGTCGTCCGTCACCTGGGCCGACTGGGAAAGAGGGCGAAGAGCAAGTTTAGGATACTTTCACGGCATTTTCGGGCGAAATTCTCGAAAGGCTAAGCGAACCGCAAGTGGAGTGCTGATTGCAGCCTAGTCGCCGATGCAACATTGTTCACAATGCAGACCTTCCAAGACACTGTTCAAATCAAGAAGACTCTCCCTCTTGCCTTCCTATATTGCCCAAGCTGGCTACCCTGCTTTGACGAGCCCTCTTTCAAAGAGAAAAAGTACAGGACACGGGTAACCAAAACGAAGCCATCCGTTTCTGAGGATCTACGATTGCTCACACCCACTGAGACGTTTATATTTTACAAAGAGCCTTCCTTGACGTTCCTGCGTCCAGATTGGTACCCTCACCTCTGGCCTCGTTGACTTGCGAATCTTTCTCGATGCTAGCTTTCCAGCCGCATTGACTGCTGTGGCCGGTAAAGTGGCCACCCGGTTCATGGTTCCCATGATGCTCATCGCCCCATGCTGCGGATCTAGGTCGTCCGAGTCCCAAACCTCGACCAGAACCTCGTCCTTAAGGCTAGCCGCGTGAAAGACCGGCAGCTTTTCCTTCCATTCTGGGTTGAGCGAGTCGTTAACCACTCTCGTTTCGGCCCTGACCGGCGCTGACCCGTCTGAGACGAGGGTCACAGTACAGTATGGGTCGCATTTACTGGCCTTTACTGCCTTGCACGTGCACAGGTCCTTGAGGATGCCCCCCATCGTGAAGTCGGTTGCTTTGATGTCGCTGCCTGACAGGACCTCGACTGAGAGTGTGCCAATAAATCCGGGGAGCGCTTCTTGTTTCCGCAGGATGGAATCGTAACTTTCGAGCTCGATCTTCTTCCAGGCTTTGTATGCGTCAAAACTCTCGAAGTCGGTCGGCAGGTGCAGGCCTGCGTCCGCTTTGAGTGCAGCTACGCGGGCCTTGATGTCTGCAAGGAGATGTTCGGAAAGATGTTGAAAGGCGTCAGCGAAAAGCAAAAAGAAGAGCTTGAAACGACTATAAGAATAACACCAAAGGTGTCTTTGGGACCGGAAGCGGTGTGCCATGTTCGAAAAGTAACTCACCGGCGGGCTTCAACAAAAGTACCAGCTTCTTTACAGTCGGGTCTCCTTACTGGCTACCTAAATCAATATGCTACTGTAAGTCTTGCTTGCAGGGAATCGGCTGCACTTGCAGTTCAAAGTAATTTGCATGAGAATGGCTTAATCGAATCACAAAGTCGCATTGTTCAATCCCACTTTACCATGTCTTAGGTGCGAGAGGTGCATGAAAGCAGACTTGATGAGTGTCAGAGGTCTTGAGAGAGATTTTTGTTCGAGGGCATAGAACATTACGACGATCAAACTAAAGCGGAATATTCGAATAAAAACTCTAAAGTTCATCTAGTTAACAAAACTTGGGGAGAATGCAGTCAACTTCAAAGGCAAGCTAACCTGGTATGCGGAAGGAGAGCTCGTTCTGAACCTCCACCACTGCCTCTTGGTGCGCTTTAGTGTCAAAACCAAAGGCTCTCCTGAGAAACTCTGCAGCCGCGTAGCACTCTTCAATCGGCTTAGCACTCTCCTCCTGTGCAGCAAACACTGCCCTCAAGGCAGCTCTGTACACGCCCGCCATCTGATTCTGGTCCACCTGTTTCCTTGTTGAGAAAGCTGACGCAGTGTCGGCACCGCCACTCTGATATTGGCTTTGCAAGCTAGCAGTCTTTGGCTCTGTGAGACGATCCCCATCCTGTTTCCTGTCTTGCCAGACTATCTTAGCACCCTCAGGTCCGCTATCTGACACGCTGCCCCACTTGTAGTTGCCACCACCCTCTTGCAAACTCGCTGCGGGGCTTTCTCGTCGCCCTCCCTTTCCATTTAGTCCTTCTGATGTGTGCACTTCATCTTCATTATCTGACGAGTCTAGATCGATGTCTGCCAATGTCAGCTCGATTCTAGGCCTGGCTGTACCCTGAATGTCTCCATCGATGATGGAAGCTGCCGAAGCAGCTATTTTGGCGGAAGGATCCATCGTTAAGGATAATCTCAGCCCAAACTCCTTAGAAACATTGATTCAAGCTTTCATGCTGTCAGCTTTCCTAATCGCAAAGCTCCAATGCGTACAACCAGCTTCCGAATATGCGCGAAGCAGCACAGTTTCTTCCTTATAACAATCTTAAGCCACGCTCAAGCTCATGAATAGCGAAGCGCTGGCGGCGCTTGTGATAGAGGAGAGAACGTGTAAGACTAGGAAAGGGCATACATCAAGGACTACCGTATGCAGAAGTTTGAACAAACGCATCAGCTGTGTGGCGGCAGCACAGCCATCTTACTCATGCAATGGTCCGATGCTAGATCACAGCAGGTATGCAACTTGGAATGCAAAGATGCAACTGTCAGGTCAGTCTAGGTTTCTATCGAACGGACGGCAGCCAATCTTCTTGCGCGCGCAATGCTTCTGTAGTTGCGAACCGTCGATCTGAAATCACTACCCGGCAGGTCGCTGCCTGGAGTTCCGTTCAAGATTCCGGCCCAGCCAAGAAGTAGAAATCAGCTCCACTCAAGCAGAGACCAAGAGCTGTATTCTTAATAGAGTCTTTTCCGATGCCGGAACGGAAGAGCAGTACCACAGCGGAAGCCAGAACAAGATTTGCATGCATTTATTATCTTCAGTCTTCAAGTTCAAGCAGGAGACTGCAATTTCAAAGCTTCACCTGTTTCAGAGACCTCAGTTCAAGCAGCTGCCAGATCAGATACGGGTAGGGAGACATTTATAGAGGGCCCTCCACTTCTGTAACTTGTTGAGTCTAATTGACGCCATGGCCATCACAGCATCACACGCAACGGTCCGGTTGCCGTCGTCGTTCAGCTGTAGCTCATCTTTGCAGGATGCGGCTCCCACTTCGTCCTTTGCACTTCAACACACCAGCAGAATCACTTCAGCGTCCAAGCCTCGTGGGTTATTATCAATTGCTAGTGCACCGATTCATGCAGGCTTGTTTGCAAAGACTGCATATCTTGGCCGTCAACTAGCCGTAGTTCGCGCCACACAATTGCGTGTATCAGGTGGTCACAGAGGGCGAGGTGGAGCTTTGGTGACGCGTAATGCTGGAACGGTGGTGAGTCTTACAGCTTGAGAAGCTTTTCTTTTTGAAACGCCCCTTGCTCATTGTCTAAAATTCAAAGGAGGATACTTGCGATAGGATAGAGCAGAGTTTCGCTAGACTAGTTTGGCCTCCCCCTGGAAGGGAATCGCTCCCCACCAAATTCTTTACTTGACATTCTGAGCAGAGCAATTCAGCAGAGTTGGCCTCTTCTCATATCTGAGAAGTCGGATCCCCTTCAGGACAGTGGTTTGTCAAAATGTTCCCGGATCAGTTCAAAGCTCACCGTCAATTCTGCTTCAGACCTTCCTGCCATGGCTGCGGCTCTTGCCCTCCGGTATGAACTGAGAGTCACTTAATGTTCAATTTTTTGTCCTAGCTCCTTGCCAACTTCATATACAAAGTTCCCCAATGATCAGGCCAGTAAGTATTGACATGTGCAGGAAAAAGTGACCGCAAAGGAACTGGATGACATTCTGTTGAATGAAAGGACAAAACCAATCGGTGAGTGAGTTCTGCTACCATTGCTCTTCTTAATCATAGTCCAACTTCGAAAGTCTCGTCATATATCAAGGAGAGGTCGCAAACACACGATATTCAGCTATTTAGTGGCCAGAATTGCGGACGCGCTTCTACTTCAAGTTTTCCACATGCCACCATGCTAGCCCCTCTTATGGGAGGTCATCAGTGAGTAATAGTGGTAGTCATGCGATAGTCATGCAATGGGCTCGATTCGAATGAGTCATACTTCCAGGAGATGATGCGGCGCTTAAACAAAATTGGAGTCAAGAGAATGAATGTCCTTTGATGTGCAGTGATTGACTTTTACGCAACGTGGTGTGGACCTTGCATCATGCTGGCACAGGAACTGAAACAGGTCAGCTTCTTCTCTTTGTTGCCAGACATGAATGCAGTATCTTCTGTCCTCTTCTGTAGACTGTAACAAGTGGGGGATCTTTCTTAGTCCCTGGCTCCCTCGATTGAGTGAGGCAAGCTGGCAGCTCTCGCGGTTCTATTCTTGTGCCTCTCTTTTTTTTGATTGTCGGGTATGTATGGCATGCCTCTCGGATTGACGACTTTATTGCTCTTTGCAGCTCTCAGCAGAATTGGGGGACAAAGTGAGGTTCTTGAAGGTAGGTTGATCACGAGATGTTGATTACGCCCAAGCTTTAAGACCACCCAAGTTCACGCACTCGGAGGACAGTTCCAATCTGACTACTGGGCTTGTTTATGGCACTCCAGGCATGCATCTCATCTGTGTTCTGAGTTTCCTAGTCACTGTCGTCACTGTAACGACCATGCGTGTTTGGGCTTTGCTCTGCTAAAAAGTGTTGCTTGTCAAAGTTGGCTTTGGACGAAATTCTGATTGCTGTACGGACGAAAGGGCTCTCGAAGTTCAGTTCAAAATTTGAGCATCTACCAGATCACTTGAAACTGCGTACTAGGAAGGGACTTACACGTCAAGCTGTGTCTCTCTGCTCCTCGAGCCTGGACTGAGGCCCACCTCATGCTCTGAAGACAAAATCCATCCCCTGGCGGAATAGTTGATAATAGTAGGCAAAGCTGCAAAAGTGATATGTCTCCTATTGCAGGTCGATACCGACGAAGAGACGATGCTTGCAAGCCAACTACGAGTAAGATCTCTTACCTGCGCCTTACAGAATTCTGAATTGTCTGCCGGTTGGTTGGGTTTGTCTTGTCGAACGGACTGATGGCAAATCGAAGATGCAGCTTCTAAGCAAAAATGACGAGTGTGACGACGAGCCCGTCAAAGGCATAATAGACATCAGGCGACGAGGACTCTCGAAATCGTACCTTGTCGTAATCATCTCGTCTGATTGCTTGTTTTGTGCTTGTCTAGTTTGCGGCATTCGTCATATGGTCGACTTAACACTATCGTATGGCTCTCATGCAGATCCAAGGACTGCCAACCATGGTCTTCGTCAGTGACGACAAAACGAAGAACGCTATCCGAACAGAAGGGTTGTTGTCTTCTGAACAGATCAAGGAAATTATAGAGAAGGAACTCTAAAACAATGCGTGCGCGCAAAAGATATTGTAGTTGCACAGATGGCGCCACTACACTGAAGGCTTTCTGCCCTGCTGATGAACATGTTCGACGAGCTTCAGATTCAAAAGCCGGCTAGACAGGGCGAGCTGATGATCCGTTGCAAGGACCAGATTTGTGACATGATCATGAAGAGACAACTCCTTTCAAGGCGATCCGACAGACATGTGAGTCTGCAACTTGCTTGTGGAACGGCATGCATGCAATGATCACAATGATGGTAGATAGTCTGAGCTATAGTGATGCAATCGCGACCCAACCTACATGTAATGTCCGACTCGATCACTTCAGTGCATGCAAGTCACCTTCATCGTGGATCAAACGTTCATGTGCCACTGAGTCACCCAGAGATCTTGGGAGCTGTTGATTGAACGTATCATTGTGCATGAGCTATCCTGTAAGTCATGTGCAACTATGGACGGTGGAGCCATGGCCAGCCGCGGCCAGACTGGCACAAGGTAGCTCGTCATTTAGTCGCGGGTGACCATGTCATAATCGAGCTATATCAATGAATGATGGCGCGTGCGCATATTCGTTAGCCTTTGTGATACATGTCCAATACTCAGCTAAAGAGCGGACGGTTTTTTCTTGAAGCCGAATTAAGCATCCAACTTAACCCTCCAAATTGTTATAAACTGCATGGCGGTAGCACCTCCAGTCTTGTTTAATCAAGAAGGTATTAAGCAGATAGGCCAGGCCGCTGCATATCTTGTTCAGCTGGCTTGATAGGCTGCCACATGTACGCAGTATACCTGAGTGACTCAGGATCTATACCAGAGCGCATGGAAGCTCCTGCTTATCTTAGTACAATCAAAGAATAGCGCCCTCGTATGCAAACAATATGATCACCATGTAGCTTCAAAAGAGCTTGCTATCCCAACTCTAAAACGTGTCAAGAAGCAATTCAGCTGTCCTCTTTACTCTACCCTCCTGAAATTGAAAAGTCTGCAGTATTGACAATACGAGTGCCCGAGTGACCCAGGATGGTGCATGTCAGATCTCCTGATTAAGATGTTAACAAAGAAACACTGCTAAACACCAAAATGGGTTCAATGATCGCTCGTTCGCGGTGGGGCTACTGGTTGATGAGATGGATTCCCTTGCGGCGCCTCAGCTCCCGCCTCCTTGATCAACTCTCCGATGCTCTTCTCCAGCTCATCAATGCGCCCACCCATCTCATCAAGTGTTGCGCAGTCAAGGAGGCAACGCATTGCAGCTTAACATGATAAGATGGTATAGAAGAACTCCAAAGCACTGATGCAATTGTGATGGCAAGCCTCAAGGCAGTGGGCAAAGCACATTCCCAGTTTGAGCATCTTCAAATAGACTTGCAGGATTGCACTCAGAGCGTGGGAGGATATTCCTTGAAATGATGCTGTCCGACATTGTCTGAAACCGTGCTTGCTGCACATAAGTACAGATGGGGCACGTTAGCGGCTCCGATCATCAAGCCTCAAGTGACTTGCTTACCAAGACAACACTGCATTTGCCCCCAGAGTTGAGGAGCCACTCCAATGCCTACCGTGCCGCACTAAACGCAGTCCAGATTTAAAAACTTCTGCCACTTGTGATGAGTTGGCCCTTTCTAATGAGCCAGCACTGCGGGCCACCAGGATTAGACTATGCCTGGGGACTTACCATCTGCTGTAGTAGGTTCTGGACGAAGGCCGTCAAGTCTGCCGTGTTCTGAGGTGGACTAGCGTCCGTTTCAGGAGCTTTGTTGTCCCCCTGGAATGTTGCCACAGTCTTGTATCACTGAGATGCAGATGTGACAAACTCAACAGCCTTATTATTGTCAGAGCATGTGCCTCCAAACCTGCTGAGTCTGAAAGCGTTGAGTGCCTTTCAGAGTGCAAGCATCGCTCATAATCTCCAGTTTCAGATGCACTGAAGTAGGAAGAATGCAGAACCGAGACTTTACGGTTGACATACTCACCATGCCTCCCCTCTGCTCAAGCTGCTTGGCGGGGGCAGACTATCAAAGCGCCGCCAATTGAAGCAGGGACTTTACTCTGACGATGCTAATGCAATTGTCAGGCCTTCTGGAGACGTTTGATCTTGGGAATTACGATGCCAATGGGGAAAACAATTGGAGGAAAGACGCCCGAAAGACGTTGTCAAAACGTGAAGGAATTTCAATCAACACCAATTTCTGTGTTGGTTTGAAGTTGAACACAATCCTGATCTGGAATTCTGCTTTGAATGTTCCGCTGCTCGTAAGCCGTTCCGGTCTTCGCAGCGGACTCGCCCGAGCTGGACTCACGTCTTTGTTTCTTTCCGAAAACATCTCTGGTACGGCGGATTCCGCTAGCTTTGGCGGAACGTGGTGTAGGCTGTGCCATGCTGCTGTACGGAGCCTTTCCTACCCCAGTCTAAATTCTTATCATGCAATAAATTCTTATTATGCCTGCGCCTTTGTCTGTGCTTGCAAGAATGCTACGAGTACTACTGCTAGCGGTGACAACGCTTGATTAGAGTCTACTTTGTCTTGAGTAGATAGTTTTGCACGTCTGTGTTCTGTGTTGTTAGGGTCCGGTGAATGCCCCGGGTTTCTTGTGGTCCGCCCGCCTGTTGTCTTGCCCAACTGCTGGTACATATACAGAAACGTTGAAACGTCTCTCCTGGAACTTGCTGACTCTCCTGTTCTCTGATGCACGGGGTGGTGGTCACCAAAACCAGTCAAGAACACAATGTCAAGTGTCGCACGTCATGCCTGGAGCCGAGCAGCGCTTGAAGCGGCTCATCTGCACTCCCAGCGCATCTCCCACCATGTCAGGGCAGGAGCCTTGCCTCTCACAATGTGGTCAGCCTCCTGGCTCTTGAGCGAGCTGGAGATGGTGCGGGCTTTCAGAAGTTGTGCATCAGGTGTTAGAAACAAGAGAGGGAGCGAAGCGGAAGTGGAAAGTGCGCAGGGGGCGGCCGTGCTGGATGCGGGGGCAACAGTCACTGACAAGCGGACGAGGTGATCAATCAGAGATTACTGACAGTGTTGTCTGACTGTGTTTACCCTCTGTCCGCTGGCTGCACTGGAGCAGACGCTGATGGTGGACTTTTGCAGTACTAAGATTCACCAATCACCCCCCGAGGTTTTGACATCTGTGGTTCTGTTTGAAACATCCTAGCTGAATGTGTCAATATCGGGGCCGCTTCTTTGCAACTCCTGTTATACAAGGTAAGACGGCCGTATTGCTTCTCTGCACTCCGATTTCGCTTAACAAAGATGATCGTACCTGTTGATCTTCACTGCTGTCAGATTCAAGCGTCCCACGCTCACCGCCCCATTTTTCTCTTCGTTCGCACAAAGTCACCAATGAGTTCTGGCAATGAGAGCTTTTGCTGACTTAACCTGACGGTCCCAATCTTTAAGGTATTGTATTGTCTGCAGGCCCTTCCTCCGCAAACGGAGGCTCGATGAGGTGTGCTGCGAGCGCTTCCCACAGTATAGCAGGAACGTCATTCAGTCCTGGATATTGCAAGGTCAGAGTTCTTCCTCTGTTGACGTTTGAATGTGCGGGGCGTCTCAATGACTTCCTGGAGAGGAAACTTGTGCAAGGCTCGTAATGTAGGTGGCAATTTGGTTCTAGGCCACTCCATCGGTCAGTCTGCAGAACTATACTTGCCAGCTTGCTAAGCTGTGGCAGCACGTTGATTGAGATGGAAAACTATCAAGTCCGTTACAGGCTGTGGTAAAGGAAAACGTCTGAAAGCTGTGAGAGAAGAGTGTACGGCTCCTTTGGTTTGGCTGCTGGCAGGCCGGCTGGAGTCCATGTTTCTTCAATAGTCGTTTTACTGTTTCTCTGCGGCTTTGAGTGATTTCAGATGTTGTACGTGACTTTCAGTGTCCCAAAGTTTGTCCCCTCCCTTTGTCAGCACACCTTAGGGCAAGTGCAAGCGGTCAGATTCTGTTATTTTAGATTCAAGTTGGGCTGCAATTCCTCCCCACAAGACGGCTTTCTCAAACACGACTTCGATTCTCCCCACCCCTCCAACCCTTTTCCAACAGCGGATTGCACGTTACCAAGCTTTGGGATACTGAATTCAAGTTTCGCAAGCTCCAACGGCCCAGCCAGCAGCCTTGTGACAAGACTTTGAAACCAAGCTCGAACCTAACGGAAATCTCGACATTGAAACCTGATGGCTACGACTGCAGGAAAGGTGCTGGTAGATGGACATCCTGTCACTAAGGCAGGCGCCCAAGTGAAGGAAGATAGGAACATCATTCTGAACGCAGAGCAGCCCAAGTTTGTCTGCCGGTGAGTTCGGTCTCTGCTGAGTATCACGAGGTTGGCTGCAGTGCGGCCAGTTTTTGAGCGGCCTTGACTGACAGTCCTTGTCTATTCCCTTGTCAAGACACTTCAATAAGTCGTCCGGATGTAGTTGGACTGGTCTTCACAATGTTTAGCGGCTTCCGACTGTGTTCATTCCGGTTTGAAGTTCAGAAGACCGTACCTGAGCACCTTTCAAAGGTGGTAACTTCTTCTGTTAGTCAGTCTCCAGTTTCGGACTTTCAGGGATCTCAGGAGATTCACTGCAGTGGACATTGACTGGTCTGTCTGGGGCAAGGTCTTCGACTCACAACAGACCTTAGCAGTCACATTCCGCTCGTCTTCTTGCAGGGCAGGCTACAAGCTGGAGGGCGCCTTGGATCACTTCCAAATCGACGTCACCGGAAAAGTTGCTCTTGACTCGGGGCTCTCTACTGGAGGCTTCACGGACCTGCTTCTACAACGGGGAGCTACGAAAGTGTACGGGGTTGATGTCGGGTATGGCCAGGTAAGCTCTAAGTCAGGAACACCACTTAGTCAGGCGCTTGAGCTGAACCCTTGATGCCTTCGATACTTAGTGATCGTTTTGCCGCACCCTTTCTTGCCCTGTTGCTCGTCTGACCAGAAATATGAATGTGGACGTAAGGTTTCACGTCGACCGAAAAGTGCTAAGTTCACCAGCTTCGCAACTCCTCCGCGTACAGCTTCGTACACTGCCGCTCAGGTAAACCTTTGTATTGATTCTGTGCTTACCTGCCACGTGATCACTTGAAGCTTTCTCATTGATCCGGAGGACCGCAGACGAGCGCTCACCCATCTCGGTCGACGCGGGACCCAAATCGGGACTTTTCTCTTCGATCGCAAGTCTATGGTCCCCTTGAATCGGTGGTTATTGTCGCTTCTAGCGAAAAGGATCAGGAAGAACGGACCTCGGGGGGCAAGGGATGAGGAAGCAGATCATAACAATACGTGGCGCGCGTGCAGGTAGCGGAGAAAATTCGGCAGGACGAACGCGTTGTGATCATGGAGCGCACCAATTTGCGGTACCTTGAGGGGCTGCCCGAGCCGGTGGATCTCGTCACGCTCGACCTCTCCTTCATATCCATCCTCCTTGTGAGCCTCGCAACTGCGTTCAGCTTGAGACATCGTTCTTAGTGTCTGCCTCATGACCGGTGTATGCTTCACCATCTGAATCACGAGTTTTTCTCTTCGCTTGCACCATAGCTTTTGCTTCTTTCTCCCTTTCATAAGATTTGAAAACCTCTCTTACAGAGGCCTTAATTGTCGAGTTTTCAGCATGTTCCTCGGCGCAATGAAGTGGCTTTGACCGTGGTGGATCAAGTATGGGTGAGAGGGTTCCTTTGCAAAGCGGGTGCTCTAGGCGGATATCAGGCACGCTGCTTTGTCCAAAACAATCCCGCCTATTTTCCTGGACTGGTTTCTCGAAAAATCTGTTAGCTTTGTCCATAGGACACAATGGAAAAATTTGTGCAGCAGCCAAGCCGTTTTCGTCACCAGTTCCTTACGAGAAGGATATCGTTGACAAACTTGGAGTTTTTTTCACGAGTTTGCGCTGTGACGTTGCCGTTACTGTTCCAGCTGCGCTGTAGGAGACGGAACAACATCTCCAAGATTCCAACGTCTTGGACAGGTCAAAGTAAGACCCTTGAAATAGTTGCCTGACCCGAGCCGCGGGCCACCATTGCAGGTCATGCCGGCGGTGGTGGCGTGTATGAAACCGGAGAGCATGCTCATCACTCTCATCAAGCCGCAGTTTGAAGCGGGTCGCTCACAGGTAAGACGGGACTCTGCTGCTCTTGTACAAGAGCGTCTAGAGTCCAAAACAGAACTTTTTCAAGAATGGTAAATCTCTTATCGTCGTTAATGAGAATGTACGGTTCTCACTACTTGGCTATATAATATACGATTATGAACGAAGGTTCTTGACTACCTTTTGTGTAAGAGAGGCCCTCAACGCTTCCTTTACATTCACACTCCCTGTACTCCTTCTGCTTCCACTCCGTTGCTTTGTGAGTCTGTTATCGTCTTTCCCGAAAAGTACCCAGCTTCCGGATTCAGGAGCCTGTAAAGATGTCTGCTTCTCGCCTGCAGGTCGGGAGTGGTGGCATCGTGCGAGATCCGGCTGTGCACCAGGACGTTCTGTGCAGGATTATAGCGGGGGTGAAAGCCTTTGGTTTCGAGTGCATCGGTCACATACAATCCCCGATCAAAGGGACCGAGGGGAACGTGGAGTTTCTCGGCGTCTTTCGGAGGCAGTGTCCGCCTCATAGCGGCATCTTACAAGAGGCTGCAGATGCTGGCGTTGCAAAGGCCCCCGTTAAGCTTCGAGATGACCGGACGCAAGGTTGACTGATGTACGGTACGGGTTTAAGCCACCATTAAGTACTGCCATGTACTGATCACGATGCGCTCACTGCTGACTGCATGCGCCGCTCCCAATCTGCATATCATGTCGACTCGATCACAATCCCATGCATGCTCGATGCAGTGCGATCCAAATCAAGCGCGGGCTAGAGCCTGCTAACTGGCAGGGCTGAAATTGCACAGAACCCTGTAGCAGGTACATGTCGACTTTGAAGTTTGACATAATTTTGTTCCAGCGGGGCCGGTCGAATGCAGTGCAAGCCAAGACATTGCCCATATTAACCACCAATACATTCCTTTTGCATGATTCGAATATAAGCCAGCTGTGCGCAAGCTGCGCCCATGTGTGATATAATATAACGGACCGACTCCATGCACTATAGACGCGCGTGCATCGATCCACAAGCTACCTATGGTGGGTATCGACGGTATCGACCGGGCGACGGTCCGGTCTCAAATTTCTTACACCGGTGTTACGCGTCGCGACGAAATGTGTACGCGGTACTGACGACCGTACTCGGCGGTACTTGAGAATGAGGTCCGAGTTCATGAGTTGAAAATTTTCTGACACGTCGATTCTCGGTCAAGTGCGTACTCTCCGGAGGTACGGTACCGCTCGAGTCTGCGCGTGCATCATTCTGAAATTCATGGTCTTGGTCGGAACTTCCGACTTGAACCACGGACGAGTACCGCGGTACCCAGACT